CAATTCACTGGAATCGATAAAATGACTATGAAGAAAAAACAAAATTGAACATGTTGCTGAACACCGACATATACTGTTAAAAATCGCTGAATATTTGATCAATTCGTTGATTCACTAAATTTTAACACGGTAAAATGTGTTTCTACAATATTTTTTTGCGTACCTCATTGCACACAAAAATATTCTGGAGGCAAGAGGAGGCGGAGAGTGAATCAAAGGGAAGTAAATTAACGTGTATGGACATTGGATGACTGATTAGATTGGAATAAGAAAAATCAAAACTTTTTGGAAACTGACAATAACAAATTTATAAATATGTGGAAGACAATAGGTGAAATATTCATGCATAAGGTATGATGCACACAATTGTCATAAAAAAAATGAAAAAAAAAATTGGGATAAAAAGTACAAAAACCATCAGAATCAATCATCAATCAAGAGTTGTGGATTGTGTTTGACACGTCAACCCTCTAAAAATTGCAATAAGAACATAATGAGTAGATCTTCTTTGCTATCTGGAATTAAGCAAAAGAGGACCATAGAATGTTCAATGTAAGTAATCAATTGATAGTTTGAAAATTCGATTAAAAAAAAATTCCAAAGAAATTGTTGTTTTCTGTTTACTTACGATGAAGAAAGTTTCCATGTTGAGCTCTGAAAATGGTCCAATCGAGAGAGAAACTCTATTTTGTCGGCGGTTGATCAAATGCATTATGTCCTTCTGCCTTTTGATGTTCATTGCGTACCATTTGCTATTGTACAGGATTTCGTTAGTTCCATTATTCTTGAACGAATTAGAAAAAAAAAATCATACAAAAACGAAAACACAATTGAAGAATTGTAAAGCCTGTAAGAAATGTAAGTCATTTGCACCCATGAAAGAAGAAAATGAATACCGTAAAAGTTTCAGCAGCCTCGCACAAGAAATACAATTGCACCGATGATATAACAGCCATGAAGTAGCCAGCGAGAAAGTTCAACTGAAATACAAACATCATTATTTCAAATAAACACATAATTCATTTGTAATCAAACGAAAATAACATTGAAAACACAATGAAAAACGTACCGCGTATTCACGGAAAAATGACATTGCAATACCATATGTGAATGCGATCGGAGCCATCAACGATCGCCAATACCATCCATTAGCAAGGTTGATTACATAACTGCAGACATTCAAACGAATTATTAACCAACTAAAATAAACATAAACCATGAAAATTCGATTCATACAAATCAGTGTCCATGATTTGCTCTAAGATGTTTCTAAATGTAAACCGTACTTTCCTCTCATCAAAATTGCCATCTCCTGATTGAATTTCTGGTAATCACGGCGAATTAGTTTTGTTGCAGTAGTCATCGATACAATTACCATTTCCATTGCCACTTCCATACCTTCAAAGCCAAAATGATTGAAGAAAAAAATGAATAAAACACTTCAAATTAAAACAAATAAATAAAAATGTTGTTTCAATTATGTAGTAGCAATGGAAATCATGTGAAAACTTGCTGATGTAGCCAAAAAAGGATTAAAGAGTGACAATAGATTGCAGTATAAAATTGCCCATGTATTCCGCATTTGATTTCGCTTCGCTGAATGGGATCTTCACCTCAGTGCCCGATGTTTTTACTCCCAAGATCAAATTGGTACAATACAATCGCCGATTGTCAATCGGATTGTTCCGTTTAGTATTCTAACGCACCCATCATCACCGCCAATCGGATGATAACATTTTTTATGGACTTGTCCATTTGCTTCGAACAAATTTCATAATACGTTTCATCTTCGTGGCGTTCGGGCATAATGTTAACAACTCCAAAAATGATCCATGAATGTAGCCTACAGTACAGTATATATATTTACATATGAATATTTGGACTCAATTTATTTTTGATTTTATTTACCCATATCGACCTGTCGAAATGGTTAAACATACGAACGGAAAACTGACGATTGCAGGTCCCAGCAGGCACGTGCCTACAATAGCAAAAGTTGTTCCAATTAATACATGAAGTCCATGAAATCCTGTCGCTAAAAAATATGTTGCTCTGTAATATGAATAGAAATAGTAAATTACAAGGTAGACCCTTGGTAAATTCTCCACGTCACAAATAGTAGAGAAGAGTATATCCAGCTAGCATGAAGTAAAATAAACACAACACGAATTCGCCCCATGAATACCAATAGAGAGTTTGATTCTCTTTAAATGTTGGCAATCCAAGCGTATTGAGTCCCTGTCGGCCAATTTCATAGAAATAGCACCATTTTTGATATGGAGATTTTGAACTTCAATCTCGTCGGATCGTTAGAGCAGTTTGAAAATGAGGCTGCGAGAATGAAAATGGCAATACAGGAATAAACATTCTGAAGTGCACCAAGAAAAAAAAATTCGCAAAAGTGAATCATGAGTTCTGAATTCGCAAAAGTGAACCATGAACCTCCTATGCTGCCCATGTAAATTCATGTTTCACTTTTCATATTCAGAACTCATGATTCATTTTTGCAATTTTTTTTTCTTGATGCGTTTTAGAATGTTTATTCCTGTATTGCCATTTTCATTCTCACAGCCTCAAATAATCTAAAGTCGTTGGTAATGTCTTTTCAGGATTGAGTGGTCGCTTCGCCATGACGAAGTTTTTTTTTGGATGATACATTTGAGCACTACTTTTCTTCGCAAGATCCGGCAACAGATTAAACTCCTTTATTTCACTCATAGTAGTTTTATCGCGCCTTCTTTCATATTGTTCATTTTGTTACCAACCAATTAATCACCGATTAACTACCATGTAATTACCGTTTAGTTACCTCTCAAAACTTATATATTATTTTACAATCGTTACGTCTTGCAAATGTGGTGTACTCCACATGAATATAGGATAACATACGGGGTATTTCACAAACAAGTTAAAGATGTCGAGGGGAAAAAATCGGGGGCAAACCACTCAAAAGTAATACTGTGTATTAGTATTACTTTAAGTAATACTAATGTAAATATTACCTTGTATTACTTTAGTATTACTTTTTTCAAACAATAGTATTATTTTTAAAAGGAGTATTACTTCATCAAAAGTAATACCACTTTTACCTAGTATTACTTCGTATTACTTCGCAGGTATTATGTATTACTTTTGAGTGGATTGCCCCTTGGAAAAAATCCTCAGAAATTCAACAAAAACCTACTTACATGTTATATACCACCTATCATAAACTATTGAAAAATTGAATATGGCCTGTCATTTAGCCTAAATTATACCGATTTTGGATGTTTTTAAAACAATTTTCGTCCATGTTTTTCATGTTTACTGCTTTTTTTCCAAATTTTTGAGGCAAAAAATCCTTGTCCATTATGAACATCCTGCACCAACCACGCCAATCAATGTACGCATCCCAATATATTGCGACTTAACTTCCGAGTTCGGAGAACTAAATTCTTCAAACATTCACGGCTATTTAGCAATAATTATTTAGCAACAGAACGTTTGTTCTTTTCATGTTGCTGATGCACAGCCAAAAACTATGATAATCAACAGGTTAAAATAGGGTTTCATTCACCAGTAAGGGTATGGAGATTTTAGAGTGAAAAAAATGTAGCCAAATCTCGCATGAGTTAGTTGAGCTCTATTGATGACAATTGTTGGTTGCTGGTTCACGAGGAATGGTTTAAGACCATTCAAATGGTAAAGAATAGCCGTAAAACATGGCTTTTGAATGGCTAAAAATGCTACTTGACTTTCTTCGCTTCTTAGGAGTTACTAGAGCCAGCAACGGTCCCATAAGATACCAACTCAGGTGGAATTTGGTCTTTTTTGCCATATCTTTACTAGTCATATAATGTATATATGGGTGCGTGTTGAATATTGCTTTCAAATGTAAAACCACAACAAAAATCCGTGACGTAGCAACCGCCATGGGATAATTAAAGTCTTCATGGCAACAAACAAAATGTGATTATTTCCTTCTACGCTCAATGTTGGATTGCTTATTAATCGTATAAATGGCCGATGTACGCCGTCAGCTTTGCAATGTCATAACGAATATCCACCTGTTGCGGCGCCACGCGCTCACTCTGAATGAGTGTAGTCAGCAAACTGCATATCTCATCAATATCCCATTAATTGCTTTGTTCATCATCAAGCAAAAAAATGAACATAGAATTTCGGAAATGTTTTTTTTTTCTATCCAAAATGTTGTCCAACCAATGGACATCCCGTTGAATAATAGCTACTTTCTACATTTCAACAACATTCTGAATCGAAGGTAAAAATCTTCGATTTATTAAAAACCACTTGTTTCTCCATATAAAATTAGATTATGACCATACAGGTTATTCCAGAAAGTATTTTGGACAGGAAAAGATGTGAAGAATATTATAAATAGCTGAATGTTATGCGTAGCGCGTAGCTATTGTTACGATATCATCTTTATGTTCCTAATACGTTGCATCAATATAACCGAGTTATGGTTAAAATATGGAAAAATCAATTCAAATTATAGCCGAATTGGCTTAAACTGGTCAAAAAAGAAACGCGTATAACACGTTAAAATTGATTAATTGGCGATCGAATACGTTTAATTATGAAGAGCTACTTCAAACGTTGACATTTTAAAGCATCTTTTGGCATGTTGTATTGATTTATTTTCATGTAGACTATTCCATTCATTAAATGCTTATCGAAATGACTACGCTTTTCGTACGTATTGCTGTATCAACATCGCCTCAGGCGGATGTACGACTCGTTATAGCGATACGGGCCCATTGAATTTGATATTCAAATTAACACTGATTAATTTTTTGTATTTTTCTTTAAATTTAAATAATTCATGATTTAACGGATCATTTCGTCATGCTTATCTTGCTGTGAAGTTTGTTTGTTTTGTTTGCTTCTCGTTGTTTGGGTTTGATTACATGCAATCAACATCTGTTTCACGCGATGAACATTGTATTTTTTGCATACAAATAACTGACGCGTATGATTTGCGAGTACAAAGTAATAAATATGTAATAGTTGCGGTTTTATTTATTAAAAATTAAATATTTTATACAAATTGAATAGGTTAACACACGCGCGTACGTGCAAATTAATGCTAAAAGTGACTTTCGTCGGATTGACGCAATTTTCGTTTGGCATCTCGTTTAATTTTATACGTATCGTCATTCCAGTCTTGCACTTTCCCACTGCCAAAGAACATGAACGCAATGGCCGATGTCACATAGAGAGCGGATGAAATGAGAAACACTTGGTTCCATTCGTTGGTTGTGTTCTGAAATTTTGATTTTTTTTAATAACATTTTAAGCATCCATTCATATGCAAAACCAACCAAAAGTGCTCAATGGCATTGAAGGTAAAATCAATTACACTTACATGTTCACGAGTGAAATAAGTAACAACTACCGGTGCAATGATACCACCTGAAGTGGCAAATGTGTTGATTATTGCGCTTAGTGTGGCCACATAGTTCGGTGCTAGGTCTAACGCATTGGCAAGGTTAACGACCGTCGTTGCACCGTTAAAGCCCATCGCGATGGTAATTAAAATTACACAATGGATCGGATTGTCGCTGACAAAACGTAAACTGAACAACAACAAACCAGGTAAGATATGTGCTAAATATTTGGAATGAATGAAAAAGCATTATTGAAGTAGGTTTTATTAGAAAATTAAAGTTTTTTTCAAATGATATGGAAACAAAAGATTAGGCAAACTTAGGCATGATTAAGTGAAATACTTACAGAATAAACTGAAACTCTTTCGAATTGTGGTAACTGATAACAGTTTATGCTTGATTAAATAGTCGGATATTGAGCCAAATATAAATCCACAAATGAAACGGCTCAAATAAGGTGCGCTGGCCAAGAAACCGGCCTTTTCTAAATCGAATTTCAATACCTACAAACGGTTTAGAATCATAAAATTAATTATTGTTGCTAATTAGCCAGATGAAAACACCAAAAATTGTTACATTTAAGAAAATGGGTCATTTGAAATTGAAATTGTCAATCCAATTAGGCAATTTCACATGCAATCACAACTTAATGTTATGATTATGATTGGTTCGAACACTCAACACAAAGAAGTTCTTTCCAAAAAGTTATAGCGTCAAAATATACCGAAATTCGCTCAAAACAAACTATTTTTCATTCCAAAACAAGGCAAAATGAACGAAATCATCTCAATTACCTCATTTAGATATTTAGGTGCCGCAACCAGCAAGAAATAAAACGACCACATGTGCCCAAAATGCAAGAAAAGAAGCGCCCAAAATGGAACGGATTTAAGAATACATTTGATCGGCGGTAACCCTCTCTGAAAGAAAAAAATGAAAAATTTAACCTCAGAAACAAATAAGAAATGCGCTTTCAATAGATTTAATTACTTGAGTACGGGAAACCGTATTGCCTTGTGATGCTTCAATGTATTTCACTTCTAACTCACTGATTCGCGGGTGTTCAGCCGGTGAATTGTAAACGGTGTAAAACCAGAGCACCGTTGTGAACAGCACGATTGTAGCTGGTATATAGAATGCATAAACCCATCCGAGATGGGTCATTAGGTATGCAACAAATGGCCATGTTAGCACCGTTCCAAGTGTTCCACCGATTGAAGTGAATACAAATTTTCCGGTCTCTTGGGGTGGTGCCCAAGATGCTATTGCCGCTTGTGTTCCTGGCTGCATAATACCCTGGAAATAGAAATAAAATTGCATTGTAATTGCGTGGTAATTACATTCCGTTTGGCATTATTAATATTATTATTTTTTATTTTTCAGAGAATAACTGACACTTCGTTGCCATTTATCGTTTCACATTTTTACTATTTTCTTTTTTCTCTAATTTGTTTTGCCTTTTTTCCCTCCACGTTCTGCTGTGAATCTTTTGCACTTTTCATTGAGTATTTTTTCTTCAATTTTTCACTTCTTCTAGATTTTCTCTATTATTTTCTCTCTTCATTTGTTTCACTTAATTTTCATTCGATTTTAAAACGGAAATTCAACGTACGGCCAATGCACCAAGGAACAGTCGAACAGAAAATACGGCCCACATCGATGATGATAATTCAGCTGCTAATGGAACGAACGCTGTAAAAATGGCAGTCAAACCGAGGCAAGTTCCAACGACAATCCGTGGGCCCAACAGTTGATTCAACAGTCCACCGATCAACTGTGTTCCCATCAAACCCCAAAAAAATGCGCTCAAAACAAGATTCTGCTGGGAATTTGACCAATTGTAACGAGGCCCATACTGGAAATACGAGGAAATTGTTACTGTTTTTTTTTTGCTTCACTGCTTCATTCTATTTTATATTCATCTAGTCTTTTCTTCGCTATTTTCCATGAAAAAAAAAACTTATTTCCACTGTGCAATGTGATGAGAATCACAAACACTTACATCCGGCAGATCATATTTCTGATTTTCCGTTTGATTAACAATTTGTTGTGTTCGAACCATGCCAAGAATACTGATTGATAAATTCACTCTAATGATATACCCAACGAATGTTGTGGCAAACAACATAAGAGCGATGGTGAGACGCGTTGGTGGAAATGGTCCTAGAAAAGCCAAATCTTCGATTATTATTTTTGGCATTTGAAGGTTCTCTTATTCTGATTGAACCTCTTTCACTTACGATTCGTATCGTTTATATCAACTTTCGGCATTTTGTCCATATTGCTGGAGCCAACCATTTTTCTTTTTAAATTACGGAACAAAAATCACTTTAGCCCAGAATTATCGGGAAAACAAATCACATGAGAACCTCTTCTCATCCCAAGAGAAACTGAGACGTGATTTGGAAATGTTTCTGTGCGATCGTTGGATGCAAATCTACCGGGTGCGTTATATTCGTGCCAAAAATCACTAGTTACATGAATTTCCAACACACGATGCACCGTTTCAAATGGGAAAACCTATCACTCTCTCTCAATCACCTATCGAACTCGAGTGAGTGAATGGTATCATTACAGTTTGAACGTAAATGAATTTCAATGAGTAATTTCAGTTGCTTTTTAATCATAGAGCCGCCTGTGAAAATCATTACAAATGCAAATTCATTTACAATCACGAAACGGAGTGTAGTCCAGAGAGAAGAATGAGCAAGAAAGAGCAATAGAACGAGCGATAACAATCAACTGTCATGAGCAATGACTTCACTGCCACAGAATGCAAGACGTTTTAGATTGCGTGATTAATATCAACACAATTTGTGCTGGGCACTTCTGGTTGTCGGCGTCAAAGCACATACTTATCAACAATTAAACAATAAATACAGACGTCATTTGAATCGGGCGAGTGGCCAAACTTTGTTTGGATATTGAATGGGTGAAACAAATTTGGATGCTTTGCTCTTTGTGATTATATGATAAAAATTATGATTGTTGACAAGTAAAAAACGGGATTTGAACAAAGGGATTCGTCTAACGATTGTCTTAGGAAAAAGTTTGAAAAAAGACATTTCAATTTTTTAATCAGAAAAATTATCAAAAAAATTTGATCATTTTTATAATCTATCCAAGTGTTCAACATAACAAATTGAACAGATAGTATTTTATCAAGCAAAAATTGAATTCACGTTCATATCGTGGTTATCGTATGTCATCGTAGTCGACAAGTCTAGTTAAGCTACTGGAATTTGTTGTGATTTTTGCCACATTCCAAAATAAAACCAAAGATTGTGGTCTAAAGATTTAGTCTGCGCCCGGATGTCTGCCTTTTTCCTGAAGAAACTCTATCTGTTTGAATAACTACATTAACCTTTTTTTGAGTAAACAAATTAATTACTACTTCTATTAATAAAGTAATGAAGAAAATGCTTCCCACGACTTGTTTTTTTTTCTAATTGCAAATTATATCGATGCGTCGAGAAACTTAGAAGTAGTATATTACGGCGCCAAATTACAAGGCTCTGTTGAAATTAAACTAATTTTCTCTTTCTATCCGAACACTTCTTGTTGAAACACAATATCATCGAATATTCTTGGAAGTGGCCTATTCAAATAGTACAAACGAAATTGCTAGTTTTATTGATAATGATTAAAAACAAATTATAATCTAATGCTCCTAAATTCAGAGCGTTTCTTTGTTGCCAACGATACTTTCTGTTTGTTGAAATGAGATGCTTCAATACATAACTATGAAGCAAAGAATCCGACTAGTTCTAGCAATGTTCAGACGTTACATTAAAATTCTTTCTTATTTTTAATTCGGAATTTAATTCAAGGAAATGTATGAAGAAACGAATGAAATGAATTATTGTCGAAATGCTAAAAACTGACTTGAAATATTCACTGAATGGCCATTTTTAGTCGATTTTTATGATTTGAAACCAGCCTTTCTATTGAATGCCAATGTATTTTAGGTTCATTGGCTAGTGTCACAAAGCGCACTGTTGACTATTTTTGAAAGCACACTATTGATGAAATTTCACAAAAATACTGAACTTCAACACCAGATTTCATGTTCAACGTTGTGACAAATTGGCAATTGTTGTTCATGTTAGAGAAAAAAAATCATTTGATGCACGTGTATATTTCATGGAATTGTTCAACGTATACACGCAAATCGGAAAATCATCTGTTCGCAATCAAAATCAGTAGATACGAAAAAAAAGGCAGCTCAAAGTGGCCGCCACACGATAACAATATGTGTATATAGAAAAAGCCATCTCGGAAATGGTAATCAATCAAAACAGTAGACGACAAACAAAAACAACACCTGCAAATTTATGATGAGAATTTAGATTATAAAGATCGTTAATTTTGTGCTTTTTTCCCCTACCAGATGTGTCAGTGAAAACGAAATCAAATATTTTGCATCGACAACAAAAACGGTGAACACTTTTAATTTATAGTTGAATGCATAGATTTACACGTTTTCGAAAATTAGCGCTGATGATGCGATAGCAAAAACGAGCGAATTGTAATATGGTAATTGAAAGAATTTTCGGCAAATGCCATAACTCATCCAAACCGAATATGATTTACCGACGAATCAACTCACTGACAAAGTTTTGTCCACCAATAAATAGCTCAGTTTACACGTGCCAGTTCTTTTGAGGCGCATTTACGACAAAAAATAAAGAAACATTTTTATGCGATGCACGCTTGCATTCTAGTTTCACTGTGGAAAAATATCTTTGAGAGTCGGGAAAAAAGTGTCTCAAGTGTGTGGAATTCGTACAGTTTTCCAAGTTTAAAACGAAATTCCTAAGCAAATGTGTTCTGTGGCCTTATCAACACCCATCATTGGAATGAAAATTCATCCAAAATGCTATTCAAATAATAATTATCATCATCATTTTATAATGATGCATGACAATTATACAAAAAACTGATTGATTTCCAATGAAAACGTATGCAAATATCATAGACTTACGAAGAAAGAACCAGGTGTCGTTTTTTCTATAACGAACGCTCCAAATCTCTGGTTCATTTTATCAATTTTTAACTAATTTAAAATAATGAAAATTTTCAAAGCGATGAATATCGTCATACTGATGTAAATTACAGCTTTTTCCATTTTAATCCACGCATACAAAGTGGGCAATTTTCTGAATTTACGTCAATGTTGACTGAATCAAAGATAATTGTCGGTCATTGTCTGAAACCATCGAACAAAAAAGTGGGCTAATAAAAAACGAGTTGTCTAATCAACGATTTTGCGGAAGAAACGAGATCAATTATTTTTCAATCGATGCTTTGAAAAACATCCGGTTCAAGTTGAACCGTTCAACTCCCACTGGCTTCGGCAATTACTGCCAAAAGTGCATCAATTTACAAAGAGAATGTAAGCCGGCGAATTGTTGCGTATTTTCGATTACGTCAATGTTCTGAATAAATTATCGTACAATCAAATAGGTGATAATTGCAGGATTACGCCCCATCTCCCGTTTAACTTACCAATTTGAATATGCTCTAGTACATGTCATACGCTGAAAATGAAATTCGAAAAGAAATGCACATTCGACTAGATTAGACATTTGGTTTTGTTTGTGTGAAAATTACATTTATTTGAATTCATAATTTTGTTGTTTTTTTTTTTCCTTTTACTGCTTAAAATAAACGAAAGAAAGACATTTTGTGTAAGAACACGCCACCGTCTGTTTTACAGGATGTGTGTCTGGGTGTGTTTGAAATGGCTTTCAAGACAGTTTTTGCTACAGAATATTGGATTGGTTCAAGTAAATATGACCACGGACTATGTTCGTATTGGTGAACTTGAAAATCTCTCTCTCTCTCTCACTTGCTTTCTACAACAGATATACCTTTCTCAAATCCAAAATTATCATTAACACTTCCATTAGAATGAATGAAGATTTTAGTTGGGTGTCCACATCATATTATCTTCGAAAACCAATGAATAAAATTTACGAAATAAAAAAGAGACGAGAAAAAAAATAATTCATAAAAAAGCTATATGTTGGTTTTATTTTTTGTTTTATAAATAGTTGTCGGTTGTTTTCTATTCCATATCGCTAGCGACAGACCTTTGTTTACTGTTTGAATCAAATTGAACAAAACAAAATGAAAACTATTTTGCGTTTTACAAAGCTCTTAACGGATTCGTGTTTTTTAGTTTATTTATTAATTATTAAAATTATTATGAAAATGAACTGCTTAGTGAATTATATGTGTGGGTGTGTGTGTGTGTGTGACTTCGTACAAGAAGAATCACAGTTGCCGAATTTTGTTGTTGTTGTTTTTTTCTCTCTTCTGTGTTTTGTGTGTACGCCATTTGCAATTAGAATGAAAAAAAACTGCATTTTATTTCAATGGCATTGGAAAGAAAACAAAAAGATCCGTAAAAACGCCAGTACGAAATCACACATGAGCGTGAGTGCTATAGGATAAAAATAAACGAACCGGGGCAGAAACAAACGAAAAAAATAGGAAACTCTACTTGCTGCATATTACAAAATAAATTATTTAACAAAGAGAGGAAACTAATACGAAATGTAAAAAAAGAAAATTACTAAGGACGTAGCAGAGGCATCACAAAATTAGGATTGTAAGGAAACAAATGATTTTGTGAGTTTTTGCGTGCTGATGGTGTTGGCTTGAAATGCTACTGAATAACTTACAAATTAAAATATATAATTCAACTTAAACTGAATTTGTTTAGTTAATTCTGCTTTTTTCTCTCTGTTGTTTTGCTTGCAATCAAAATATTTGTTGTTAATGTTTTTTTTTTTTCAAATTTTTTCCACTTTATTTTTTTACAATTTTATTTATCTATTTTTTTTTTCTAATTTATTCAATTTTTCTTTTCACCAACACATGAAATCTGAGATCATATTGTACAAAATGTTTTCCATTAATTTCATTCTTGACAAAAGAGACAAAAAAATTGCATAAATGTTATGTATCTTTTTCATATATATAAATCTTTTGTAGTAGTTGTTGTTGTTATTGTTGTTGATGGGCAATTAAATTTTTTTTTAAAAAAATAGTCAAAGTTACATGCCTCAAGGAGAAATATGCAAAAAAAAACAATAATCGTTAGTTCTCTTAATTCGTACTTTGTTCACTTACAAAATAATAAATGTATAATATCGTTTTACATTTCAACGGAGACACAAAAAAAAAATTAATTATATAAATCTTCTGAATTTCAGGCTTAATTTTGCTCTCATATTTTCTGGGTTTTGTTTGTAGTATTTTTACGGTTTCATTTTCTGGTTTGTGCTACTTCCTTCACACTCTCTCTCTCTCTCTCTCTCTCTCTCTCTCTCTAGCTTTTACCAAGTCAATCACGCGGCAGATGAGTAGGTTCAATTTTGGTTAAAAATTCACAACATTTTTCGAACAAAAGTGTACAGGTGGGCGTTTTGCGATTACTTAATCACTTGCACAATCATTTTTCGGATGATTAATACGACCACTTAATCACTTAATCGCTATTAATCATGATTAAGTGATTGTGCAAGAGATTAATTAATCATATCGAAAAAAAAATCGAAGAAAAAGTTTCATACAAAAAACATGTCGATTTTTGCCAGACTCATTTTTGTTAAACATTTGTTAGGTCTGGCCAAAATTGACATGTTTTTTGTTCGATTTTTTTTTCGATATGATTAATTAATCTCTTGCACAATCACTTAATCATGATTAATAGCGATTAAGTGATTAAGTGGTCGTATTAATCATCGCGAATTTTGGGTGTTTGATTAAGAATCTTTCTTAATTTAAGATTAATAAATCTTAATCAGATAGTCCGCCCAGATAGATCTGTACAAAAGTGTGTCTTTGTAAGTGTTTTGCTGATTTTAACGTGCTAAAAATCAAACCATTCTTTTCAATGATCCAGAAGGCTTAAGTCAAAAAAAATTTTTGATGGAAAGTACACATTTTCTCTACTAAAATTTTTACACGAAAAAAAGAAGTGACCAGCCTTGAAAGTCGAATTTTTTACACTTAATTTTTCTACGTTAGTTTCGAGCGTGAGAGAGAAAAATCGAATAGAAAAGAAATAAAAAAAAGTTTTCTTCAGGGTGAACGGAAAAATAATAAATATGCGTATGCGTTTTGTGTTTGTTTTTGTATCCGTATGGAAATTATACTAATTTTTTCCTACGATCAACAATTGATCCGAATGCTGTGTGTGAAACTGGAAAAATTACCGGGCCCCACCACCTCCGTAGACGACTCCGTTTGCAAAAAACAAACTTTTTTTCTTGCTTTCTACTAGACAAAACGGCACCGTCAACGGAGCGCGGGGCAAATTGATGAAATTTTCAGTATTAGCTAGTGCACAGAATCGGACCGATTGTTGATCATATTGTTGATTTGAGTTGATTATTTGCGTATTAATAAGTATACATAATAGTAATCTATAAATCACTAAGGTTCATTTTTCTTGACATTTTCTTTCCTTTTAATTTTTTGTTTTTATATCATCATTAAATCATTAACCATTCAAAATATAAACTTTTTTTTGTGTTTGTTTTTAATTATTAAAATTTGTTTCTTTTAGGATTCGATCGAAATTTGTAACTATTATGTAGTTGTGTGTGTGTGTTTATTTTTTGCTTGATTTTCATTTAGTCAATAGTCAAATAGTTGGAAGAATAATTATTTTGCGCAAAAATGTTTCGAATTACGAGAAAAAAGACAATTTGACGACCGATTCAATTTTTTTTTCTTCTGTTTTTGTTTTTCAGTTCAAAATTGTTGGACAATTTTGGGTGACAATTTAATAATTCTCAAAATTGCACCTGTTTCGCCCGAAATTGGAATTCGGTTCAGTTCGAGAAATTCAGAAATTAAATGAATTGTTTGTACATTCGGAACGTGTTATTTCCAAGAGTTGAACAAAAATCGCATTAAAATTCGTTTTATAATCGAATATTGGACTTCCATAAAATTCGGGAGAGGAAAAAAACACTAATCACAACAGTCATCGGTAAGAAGGGAAAAAGAAAACAAACCATTTTCTTTCATGTCAAACGCATTCGACCTCTTTGCACGCATACAATTTTGTGTTTGTTTAGTATATGTACATGATATTTTAATAAATATTAGATTATTTTGTCGCGCACCGATGAGAATGTGTATGTGTGTTTGTATTGCTTTTTTTCCATCATCATTATCATCTCAGATTCAGTCAATAAATCGTTCTATTTGAATCGTGAATATATATATAGTAATTCCTGCAGTGAGAAACGAATCATAGAAACGAGCGGCCACGAAAAAGAGTGCCACAGAGTCAAGCGTGAACTCCATGCATCTTGGTTCAGTTCAGTGTTGTTGCATAATTGGCATGCGCTATCGACGATAGTCTATCGTCAATGTGATTTCATTCTATATTCCCGAAAATCTTTCTTTCTTTTTCTCTTTTCGTTAAATAGGGTAGTAGAAACGCTACACCAAACATATTCAATTGAAGTGGAATAATGACAAAATAATAGCATTGAAAATGAAAAGAAAAGAAAATCATAGAGAAATGACGACGAAAAAAATATAAAAAAATAATAATAATAATAATAAGTATTCTATAGATTTGTGTTGATTTGTCGGGCAAATCGATTTGTGTGTCGATTGCCCTGTATATACAAGGTAAAAATATCACTGGATTAAAGAAAGAGAAAAAAATATAATAGTAATTAATCTGAAGAAGGATTTGTTTTTCTTTTTAGTGTTCTAGCGTTTAGCCGTTAAATGTGTTAGCATGATTGAAAACTAAACTACCAAAAAAAACAAGGAAGAAAGAAATTGGCGGCGCATTGTTTTATCTCGCCACGCTTTCTCACTCCCTATCTCTCTATCTCACCACAGTTATTTTTTTCTTCCTCTCAAATACTTTGTTTCCTATTCTCTTCAGTTTTTCTTGTTTGTTTTCGGTTTCATATAATGCACTCATTAAGCACGTAAATGTTGCATTTTGGAACATTTCAGACATGGCGACTGCGGATAAAAAGGCTACTTATTCTCGCTTTGCTTTCTTTTCTTTTTTTTCTTTTTCATCTCAACGCAATTGTTTTTTTTGTGGACACTATTTCTTTCCATTTTACCGATTTTCACACACATGACTTACTCTTTTGACAACAACAAATACATATACAGACGAACGGTTTTGTGTTTCCTCTTTTTCTTCCTCATTGTTATTTCTTGTGTGGGCTTGTACCGTGTGCAATGCAGCACACACAAAATATTCTCTAACTCTTGTTTGGCGTGCGTTCGCACGCGCTTACCCAGAAGAGTCCATACACAAATTTGAAAATTATAAAAATTTGTTTAACCTAATTCATAACTTAGGAGAAAATACTTCGTTTTGTGGCAACGATGGATCGCTGCTGTTGCTACTGCTATTGCTGCTACTGCTGCTGCTGCTGCTGCTGCAACTGCTGTCCAACGTTTCGCACATTGTACTTGTGTTGTGTTCGACGTGCAAATGATCAATCACTAAATCTGTCGTCGTCGTTGTCGTCGCTGTCACCGTCGTCGTCAATTGTTGCTTTGTTCTCAGTCGCTTTGGGCTCAATTCATCGATTTCACTCTCCTCCAGATGAATATTCTCCAATGAGGTGTTTGCATTTCGTTTCAGCAAATACTTGTTAAATTCGTGTTCATTTGTATTTTCCAGCAAATTATCCACGGCTATTGTTGTTTCCACATCGCTCATGATTTCATTTCGTTCGATTGCCGACAATTCCATATCTTCGATATCATCGTCGACATCATCATCATCAGCAATTGAACTGTCTGATGATGTGGTCGATTCCAGATCATCGGAGTCTTTGTTCCACCAAATTTCGGCACCCGGGAATATGTAACAGTTCTTTTCGTTGTAGAAAAAGGAATTGTCGGGCAAAAAATTGGCCATCGACGGCGGATACGATTCGGATGTGGACGATCGATGATGCGATGCATTACTTTCGTCAACCGATTCGATGGAGTCTTGTGACGTCGACGACAATTGTTGCCAATTTGAACTACTATTACTACTGTCCGTTTGAGACTCATCTGAAGCGGGTGTTGGTGTTGCATTGTCATTTGATAACGACGACGACGTCGCCGCCGACGATGCACTGACAGCAGGCTCGTGTGGCTTCTTAATCACAGCATTGGCTAGTAATGGAGGTATATTGTGAACATTCATAGGACTAAGGATGAGCTCGTTCGTCTGTTTCAATGCTGCCTGTGGGCAAATCTCATTCCAGTCTTCCCCGAGCCTATATTATGACACAAAAAAAACAATTATTGTACAATGTACATTCAATGCAATTTCCTAGATTCAATAATATATTTTCGAATAGAAATTTCAACTTTTGAGCAAATCTTCTTCCAATTTCCCTGTAACAAATCTTCTTAATCTTCGGAAGTAATTGAAAATGCAAAAATAAATTATTCAAATAAAAAACACAGCCACTTACGTGTGCATTAAATGATTGATGATGACATCGGAATCGCCGAGCAGTTCGACATCGAACACAAAGTGATCGAGTTGTTCGCGATTGATCAGAATTTGTGGGATCGTTTGATTGATTGAGCTTGGTATGAGCGCGACCGGTCGCACTTTCAGCGATGATCCGATTACGATCAATAGATCACAATTAGTCTTATCGAGTTCGATGGTCGAGTGGAATTTGTCGGGCAGACTTTCGCCAAAGAATACAATGTCTGGTTTCATAACGCCGGCCGCCACCAATTGATTGTAGTTGAAGGGTTGTTCGGGTCGTGGGTTCATCAGTCCATCATCGTCGTCTTTCGGTGTGTCACACAGTTTACACATCGGAATCCGTTGATGCAGTATATCATCTTGTATATCGATTGCGTCCACTTTGTATTTGCATCGTGTGCAACTGGCCGTCGCAAATGATCCATGGCATTCGATTACATTTTCAATGCCGGCCACTCGTTCCAATGTGTCAATGTTCTGTGTGTAATTCCGTAGCAGTTTACCTTGGCGTTCGAGCAATTTGATGAAGCGATGTGATAGTGACGGTTGAAATTGTCCTGGGTAAATTTCTTTTGCAAATTGATAGAATGGACGCGGATCGCGAGCAAAGTAGCCAATATCAAACATGGATTGTGGATCACGCATGTCTGGATATTCGATGCGTAGACGCTCATAAATGCCATCGCGTGATCGAAAATCGGGGATGCCACACGATACACTCACTCCAGCCCCCGTTAATACTATTATATTTTTTGATTTTTTTATTGTGTCGCACACTTGTTCGATAGTTTGCACCTGTTGCAAACGCTGCCGTCGCGGCGGATCGGACAGAATGGCGGCAATAACGCGCCATAGATCATTGTCGGTGATATTTTCGGGTATTGTTTGCTTTGGGCTGTTCACAAATATCCGTGATAGGCAGTCGCGTGGATTCACACCCGATGCAATTTGCATATGCACCTATTGGTTTCATTGGAGAGAAGACCAGAGAAATGATCAGATAAATTATTAGTAAGTTGCAAAACACTTGCAGGTTGCCTTATTGCTTCCTCGGTCGAAAGAAATAGCGCCAATTTTTTTTAAAAAAATGTATTGAAAAACTGAAGACTGTTCTTCATTCGGAAAATTCAAAACTTAATTTGACCATTTTTCATTACGTTTCACGAAATTTGGCACATTTTCCATAGTTTTTTTTTTTGACGAAACTGTTTTTTGTACTGAATGGTAATCTTGAAATGGAATGGTAATCTTACCCAGTCAATAGAACGTTGCATTTCAGGCATAATGTCTGAGTTGAGCTTGAAAACATCGGATAAATCCGATATATCGGACATATTACTGTCATCATTGTAGTCATCAGCGTCATTCTCTCCGCTGCTGTATTTACTCTTGCTAGCCACGACCGTTGTCGCCGTCAACGTCGTCGTCGTCGACGCTGTCGTTGTGTCTCTTGCACAGGCATTAGTTATGTGATCATAATCTAAGCTATTTAAGTCTAATTGGGCTTCATTGATTTGATCGCTACCGCACACATCATACGATGGCGCACCATCATCGGTGCCATCATTCTGTGGTGTTTGTGCCTGTGATTCGGTTGCTGTTGTGATCAGTGAATTATCGTCAAACAGTTGCTCCGATTCGGGCGACGAATCTGAGTGATCAATTTGAGCGGGCGTTGTGCGCAAACTACTTTTACTACTCGCCGAACTTATCAATGTAAAACTATTCGAATATAAATCATTAAAACCCGAATCGCATGTGTCAAGCGATGATGATGGTGGTGTTGAAAAGCCCGCACTCAATTCACTTGATGCACTGTTTGTCAACTCAATATCGGACATTTTTGATATCTTTTTACTTAAGCTGATTTCAGGTGATGTCATTTCACTAAAACCTGTCGAATTTCGGTGTAGAGAAAAAATTTGGGAACAGTTAGAGAAATGTTTTTAAATCGGAATTAACTAAATTGAAAACACCATTTGAAAAAAAAAAACGGCAAAGAATCATGGAAAAATTGTCCTGGTCATGACCAATCCATTCGAATTCCAAATAAAATAAGGGGAAGAAATTGCTATACACAAACATTTTGTTTTGGTTCTTACACACTAGGCAGGGACAACAAATCGACAATGAACAAACTCAAAGCGAAAACATTGAACTGCGAATGTGTAAACTTGGAGTCATTGCCAAGCATTGTAGCCGGGAAAAAGTTCAAACTCATAAAGAAATGCCCCAATTGGGCAACAAAGGCTCGGTGGAAAATTAATGACTTGCTGCTCGATGGCTGTGCAGCCCAGGCCACCATCCATACCGAGATTTAGAGAGTGCGTACAAAAGTGTTTTTTTTTTCCTTCGCTCGACCCTCGACTGTTTTCTGTTGTTGTTTATGTGTTTGTTGTCAATCAGAATCCATCAAATACACAACATTCACGCCAGTGCTGCACGGCATTTTGTACGTTTAAAGACCATTGAATTGAGCGAAAAGACGAGCTGTGTGTGTATGTGATTCGTGTAACATTTCATGTGTGAAATTCACGCGCTAGCCCGTCTCAAACTCTCAAATACAATGTCAGATCACGTACTCTGTATGTTACCATTTCGCACATTAGCTGTCACACACGACATTAATTCAACAAACACACACATACACACACATACACCATCCAAATCTAAATCACTCTCATCTCACAGTGGAACTGAACATGCAGCGCCCTCGTACGAACGAACTGAACGAACGAACACGACACGACAGCACATACACAATCACACAGCACCAAAGTGCCAAGGAAAAAAACCAACATGGCCGACCGAGCAACGAAACAAACGACGAGAACGGGAGATAATTTATTAAAAAATGGCTACCACGAAAAATTTCTACTGAAACCAATATAGAAAAATAAAAATGGAATTTTTTTTCGATTTTACTTACGCTGAAAATCCATTCGAAATCATGCAAATTTTGACGCAAATTCCGTACAAATGCGTTTGAAATAAATTTTATTGAAAATTTTGAAAATTTTTTTAATAAAATTTTCGGACGAAATATTTTGATGAAGGAAAAAAAAAAAATTCGTGTCTGATGTGTGTGGCTTTTTCCCAATGCCTTACGCGAACGTAAAAAAAAAACTTTTTTCGGTCGGTTCGGGTTGGATCGAAATGAACAATGCACACAACACTACCGTAGCAACATTACGTACTAGTCACTGTTCACTTGGACTTGAATGCCAATTTGGTTTTGTTGAATATATCAATGGTTGTGAACACACAGAGCAGCGCGCACTGTTCAAAAGCCTCATACCTTTTTCTGTTTGGCTGAATGTAAACTATACTATACAGCATGTATGGAGAAGCACATTCAGTTTACTGTTGTTTCTACATTGTTTATATGCTGCTGACTACGTCGTCACATCAGTCCATCTCTTTCGTTCGGCTATGTGTGTCTCGTTCTGGTACATGCCAGCAAATGCAGTTCGAGCAGACGCACACATGCATACGGTCGAGAGTGGTGTGCATGTGTATGGGTGACTCTTCCTCGGGATTTTACCATAAAATATCGAGTTAGAGCCACCAATACTATGGCACTTGTGTCTTGTGAACGCATTTGTATTGGTGTTGTATACAAAAATGGTCTACACACAGAAAAATCTCTAGACATATTTATCCGACATTTTGTGGTCCATGGATAAATATTACGCATATTTTTATTCGTAGCCTTTCAATAGAAGATATTATGGGATACATTTTTTTTTCTCTCATTTCAATGGCGCGAATAATTTTTTTCGTGTGTTTTGACACCATTATCTGAACAAATTAGACAAATTTCCATGTAAACAAATGCGTCATTCGAAAAACAAAACACCGACCACTTTTTGTGAGTTTTTACCGCCATGGAATTTTCCTGTGTGTAAACGATCGGACAATTTTTCCGAAAAATTCCATGAACAAAAGTACGCAAGCGTCACGAAAGCGCATCTCAGCATATAGTGTGTTATGGAAATGTTTTGGTCGATTTACACGAGCCGTCGTAAATGTGTGCGTGTGTGTACGTTGTTTGTATGGTACAGTCTACACAGTGGAACGGCATCGTATCGTTCTCCGTTCACCGTAGATTACGTAGTATTGTGCAATTTGGTTCCACATTCAGTTGAACCCGGTTTTACTTTACGGCACCAATACCAGCACGGAGAAAATTAAAAGAATCCAAGTGTGTTGCATGTGTGTGTGTGTGTTGTATATTTTCTCTATTCATTCAGCGCACACTGAACGATGCATGAAACGATTGGAAATTTTCGCTTGGCTTTGCCCGTGTCTCGCGTCTACTTCGATCGAAACAGCAACGGCGACGACGAATTACGACGAGAAAAAAAATGAAGAATTCAAGATGAAGAAGATCAAATGTTAAAATAGATAAAAATAAAATGCCTGCAACGTATCTAAATGCGCAAATCTATTTCTCGTTTGATGTCACCCGTCTCTCATCATTTGGTACGAGCGCGCGAGCGTAAGAGACCGTTTCAAGAGATCGGAGAGGAAAAATGTGCACCAGAAAGAGATAGACGAATAAACAGAAGGAAAAAAAACAACGCACACACCACAAATCTAATAAATTTCCATTCTGCATTCGAAATTAGTGTTAGAGGCAACAACAACAAAGTAGAAAACTCACAACACAAAACGATCCCTCTCTAACACTCACCTTACTACTATATGGGTAGGTCTACTTAGCATAAAACTTTCTCTGTTACTTGCCTTAGCATAACCGTACGTTTGTCTTGCTCTTTTGGAAAAAAAACGGTGGCCATTTATCTGCTGATGGTAAAATCACCTGTGAGTCGATCGATTCCAAGAATTTATTTTTTTTTGTTTACGCTCGTTCAAAGAATTTCCGAGCCATTTCGGTGGCCAAAATGTGATTGAATATCGAGAGAGAATAACCCAGGCGAGTGAATGAGCTGAATTTTTCCCTGGTGCTGCTTGAATACACCGATTTAATGGTCGTACAAAATTTTCCATACATCAATTTTTCTTATTTGAATTTCTCTGTTTTTCGTGGCTGGGCGATTCGCATGAGCGCCATCTATGGCCAAAGCTTCGAACATTTGGTACAGCTTTCGTGAACTTTGGCCGTATAAGCTCGGTGTGAGTGTGTAAGCATTAGAGAAATTTTCATAACGGCCAGTGAAAATCTAAAACACATCTAACTCAATTCAATTAGAAGAGCTTCGTGAATCTCAATTCTGACTATGGCACAATGGTTTTGCGATTGTTAGGTTGTTGTTGGCGTCAATGCGACCGATGAGATTTGAATTATTCACACAAATCCGAATAAAACACTTTAATTTGTTGAATTGAATGTGTGTTTTTGCATGTGTTTCACAGGTTTTTCCATTCTCTCATTTGAATTGGTCCCGAAACGGGTTGCCCTTGGCACATATCTTTGAATTGGATTGGTTCTGCACGAGACACATGTCGCGCAATTCTTGATGATAATAATTCAAGAAGCCACTTTTTTCATCCGGATTATTCATAGGAAGAGCGAGTTTTTTTTCACCTTCTTTTAATCAAATCTAATTTGCTTTGTGCCATCGCAATAATGAGAATATAAAAAAAACGTTGGTGAAAAAACCAGGTCCCGTGAAAGAGTGCCATGAAAAGGAAAACGGCTGATTGTGTTGACAAAATAAATGCAATTTGACGTTTTGGGTTTGTTTATTTATTATTTTGTCACCTTCTCTTACTCTCTCGACGCCGCAATGACACCACGTGTACCACCATGCGCCTCATCTAATGAACGGGCAAAAACATATCAGTGGGAGAGGGGAGAGGGAGAGAGGAAGCGGTATGAGTACAACGTATTTCAAATTAAAAAATCGCATTTTGAAATTGAACGGATGAATTTTAATGTCATTTCCGTAGTTTGTTGTCGATGGTTTCCTGATGGAAAGCGACATTAAGGTGAACGGTGTTGCACTGTATAAATGTTGTGCCGTATACACACACAGCGCGCACACATATACACATACACACATCAACCATTTTCACCGTTCTCTTCCGTTCATTTTTCTTTGTGTGTGCTCACTCTCCGGTTGCATTGAAATCGACATCCTTCATTTTCAGTGGCAAGTTCCGTTGTTATGACAGAGCACATTCTTTCACTCGCAATTTTTGTTCACTCCGCTGGCTATGAATGAGTGTGTATGTGCTGTCATTGTGTATGGCCTGGCTTACGGAGCATTGCAAAAAGCGGAACCGAGCGCGAAGAAAAAGTAGGCGAAAACCAACAAACGTAAAAGAAGCATGTAGCAGCAGCAGCAGCAGCAAAGTGTACTCCAGCAGAAGAAAGCACACAGAGAGGGGCATGGACATGGAAACCCGACACCTGCGCAATTGCAATCTAGAGCATACATCAAATTCTCACTGATTGAACAAATAGTATTCCTTTAACTCGCTGACTATCGGTTGTGTATACTTTTTTTTCTTGTTTATTTTCTCTCAAACAAATCGTTCCATACACAACAACAACTGGCAACAACACGAAAGAAAAGAATATTTTCATCGAAACTCTATTTTTTTCGTCGAATTTTCTCTCATACTCGAATATTGTTGTTGTTTTTCTACTAAATACGGTACTTTTATTTCGGTTGGTTTTCTCTTTGGCCAAAAGGACAATTTTTCTTGTGTGTGAACAAAATCTGCCGTTTTTTTTCTATTCCTGAATAATAAAATAAAAAACTAAATAAAGAATGTTATGCCCAGAGTCAAATGAATAGAGAATAAAGTATTTTTTTGACGGTCATATTGTCATGTATGGTTTAGAAGGAAAGACGAGCGAAAAACAATAAAAAAAACACGAAACTAGAGAGAGAGAGAGAGAAAAAAGAAAAAAAGAATAACAAATCGTATTTTACGGTGCAACCGCGTTACTTGCTGGTACAAGCTGTCTCCGCACGCCATACACACACACACAAGGTGAACCCATTGAATTCTGTTTTTTTTCCTGCACGACACATATTTTGCGAGAGCAGTGTCACTCAGCCGAGCCAAAGAGTTTCGGGTTTCAATTCATACGAAATCGACAACTGTTATTAAGCCAAAATATGCAGTCACATTTATCTTAAGACCATCTAGTAGTGTGTGCGTGTTGTTTTGTTTATCTTTTTTTTATCGATAGATTCGAAAATTGCTTTACACGCGAAAAATTCCATAGCAATGAAAACATATACCGAATCAATTAAAATATTCTCCAACAATTCTTTCTTCTTCTTCTTTTTCTTCTTCTTTGACTAAGCTATTTTGTTTTAATAGAAAAAAGAAATAGAAACAATATTTTATTTTCTGAAATGAACCCGTAATTCAAAGCAATCAAAACTAAAATTAAAATTCCCATTTATATGACATTTATTTATTCTAGTAAAACAAAAAGAAAAAAGAATTCGCCAACCAAATAGAAAGATTTAGAAATTTATCAAAATAAAAGTGTTTACAATTAGTTGTTGATAGAAAAAAGAAGTTTGTTGTTTGTTATTCAGGTGAAAAGAAATATTGGAGAAAACCAATTTTTTTAGTAGATTTGCATGTGCCGAGCTCGTTTGAAGTATATATCTATTTGCTTTGTATTGGGTGCTTTTGAGCCGACAGCGCAGAAATAATATTGTAAATTAAGCTATAAGCAAATGTTCGTTTTCATTTTCGTCAATTTCTTTATCGAAACAACTAGTTGCAATATAACAATTATAAAGCAAATATAAACACACAAAAGAAACAATTATTCTCTCGTTAAATTTGTTTAAAAAAAAGTTTTATAATATAAAACAGAGAAACAATACAAATATATTTTTGCTACAAGCGCGAATTACCCAAACAATAATAGTAATTATTAAGTAAACTAATAACAAAACAGAGTAGTAAAAGGGTAGTAAAAAGAGAAAAGGTGCGGGTAGGAGGCGAGAAAGATGTATTTCAAGTCGATGGTCATGCAATAAGTGTGTGAGAAAGAGAGAGAGAGAGAGAAAGTCAGCGTTTTGAGGGAGTTTTGAATCAGCTGTGAATTGTTTGTAGTTTTTTTTTTCGTTCAAAATTTTGTATCGTTTAAATCGTTTAATGATCGTCGGATGATAAACAAAAGTATCCGTACATTGGCTCAATCTCCTGTGATAAAATAAACAGTAGTGATTGCATCCATTTTCAATCAATCCCATTTGGTTTTTTGGCGCCTGCTGCACGACTATTTCCAACCCATACACACTGCACACTTGATGGTAAGTGTTAATGATGCAGAAAATGCAACACACAGATTGGTTTTCTCTTTTGTTGCTCCGCGCAAAATGGTATCGTTTATCGCGTGTGACCTTATCAAATTCATTCAGCATGACACACCGCCAATTCGCGTCTGAATTATTCATGGCAACCCCAGCCAGCCAGTTGAAGTTCAGTGTTTGTCTTTAATTTTGATTGATGTCTCAAATGCCAATTATGTGGTTTTGTCACGCGTTACACGTTGCTTTGACATAACACTCATAATATGAATTGCAAATCGAACGGGTGTCGGTGTTCTTGCACTCATCATATGCGGTGACGCGACGCGCGAATGGTGCATGCCTCGAATACACGGCTTGCGTAATTCCAATGGATCAAAAACATGGAGAACTTCCAATTTACTTTATTTGCTTGTTGAACGAACGGACCATGACGCTTTTTTTGAATACCATAACGACATCAACCCTACACCATTTAGCCCACTATCCTCCTTCTTTTTCTCAACTGCTGCTGCTGCTGCTTCTACCCGGATTCTTCATCACTCTCCAACCAAATGTACTCCAACTATTACTGCTGATTATTTTATAAATTATGCAAACGATGCCGAACACGGAAAGCTCACGCTTGCCAAGTTTTATTTTTGTGTGGTTGATGTAATTTTACGGCGCCGTGTGTTTTTTTCCGCTCGCTCGTTCGCTCGTTTGTTTGTTTATGCTTTTAATTGTTTTCTTTTCGTCCAGTTGTCGTGGGTCGGCCAAATGAAATGTGTCGCCATGCGAAAGTCAAAGCATTTGCACAAAAAACGCGATCGAATTTGTAGCAGCAGCAGCAACAACATATTTTTTTTGTGCTGTGATATTGCAAATTAGCTGTAGCGATAATCCACTCGTTTTGGTGCAACAGTGTAGGCTGAAACGCGGGCTCAGTGTCACAAAATACATTTTGACGCCGGTTTCATAGAGCAATCATAAATTACTTTTGCCCATTTTTCAATGTCAATATTCGTCGCTGGTGGTGGTTTTGAGGGCTGGAAAAAAAATGATATTTCACAATTGGAATCAATCATGGTGACTTTGACACGAGGACAATCAACGAATATTAAACGATATAGGCTGCTAATTAGTACTTTGGTAATGGCGACTCATTTGTGATTTCCTCTAGTAGTCGCGTCATTTTTCATTGGTGAAACGGAGAACGCGCTTGTGCAAGGTGTGCATTTTCTCGTTGTTTTTTTTTCTTTGGTGTTATTACGTGCAAATTGTCGGTAGTTATTTCGTTCTCGATTCGGCCAATGAAGTGAGTTGGATGGAATTTAAATCGAATAAAACGTCATTCATCCATTTAATCAAGATTTATTAGTTGACATTCAATTTTAAAGTTAAATTGAAGTTTTAAACTCGACTGTGGTAATATTTGAATTAATTTCGATTTAACTTAACCCATATTGGACCATAACGTTTTTTTCAGTGTATTTAGGTGTAAAATGGATTTCGGTGCAGAAATGCATTATTTGCACACTAAAATGGGTTAAATGCATTAAAATGGCTGGAAATCTATTTGAAAACTTTTACTTTTTTAAAACTTGTTAGAAGCTTTTTTTCGTTTTTCCAATTTTTCCATTTATTCAGAAGACAAAAAAAGCAGAAGAAACGTTTGTCGAGTATATCGTTGAGAAAAAATCGTTCGAAATGCATTTTTTTTCCTCTGGAATTGATTAATTTATTTGTTGTTCTCCATTGAATTCACAATTGTAATCGAGAGCGCCGTTCTGTTTCCCATTGGCCATAAGTGTTCAAGTAATCGACGGTTGAAAACGGTTGAATGCGATAAATTCAACCACATAATCGATTTCGATTATGCGATTATTATTGATAACAAGTGTTTTTTTTTTCTCTTTCTCCCATAAACAAAATTCAGTAAACAACGGGTACAATCGAGGTGTGTGTGTGTGCCTGCCGCTACTGATAGAACATGATGGCTACGGGCTTAAAACTGGATTACGTCGATGGAGTATTCAGTAAAAAAGTCATAATATCAAAGGAGATATGCTTTGGCTGATATGGCCCATACATGGGATACCATTTAATGTATAGAAAGAGAGATGAATTTCGTTCGGCCCGCAACTGAACCAGAGACCAAAAACAACCAAACCAATCAAGACGTAGATTTGTAGCTGTTGCATCGTTGTTCCAAACCAGAAATGCAATTGAATATTTACTAAGGATAAACCAATTGAAACAACACAAATACATATTTTGAGACAATAGAGTTTTCAACGGTGGATCATTTATATACATCACAAACACATACTCAACAAAACACCAAAAAGGGAATAAAATTGAAGAAGAAGCTAGAAAGAGCAGAACACGAACGAGAAGCGAGATCATTGTCAATTTTGTAGAAGCAAGTCAACCCAGTTAATGAGTGATTAATTGCTGTCGAGGAGCTATCCATTTTTGTTAAGGAAAACGCAAACGCAATTACACAATTACATATCAATTATCACATTCATATAACCAAATAATATCAACAATCAACAATTATTTTATTCATTTTCACTCCAAAACAACAAAAAAAACTAATTTACACGCGTTATTACACCACGATAAAAAAAAGAAACATACGTTCAAGCCACACTATTTCGTTCAATTCAAAAACGGACGAAGAAAACAAGAGTTATATGAAATACTTGCAACGGCAAGCGAACGATGCATACACTTGCGATTTGCTTCAATTTGTTTCGATTGTTTTGGTCAATTGACGTCATGAGGATATTCATGCATTAAGGACTTGCATTAAATACGCCATGGGAAATGGAATGAATAAGGTGAGTTGAAGCAAAGTTTTATTTGTCTTCATTTTCGGCCACTATTAAATGTGACGGTTCCTTTTCTTCCACTTCAATTGTCTGGTATTTTGTTTTTGATATTTTGCTAATGGTTTTCTGTATCTTTTTCTTCGTTGGAAAATTCCGAAACACTATTTCAGGTTCTACCCGGCTTATACGTCGGCAACTATCGGGACTCAAAAGATCAACAGCAATTAGAAAAATTCAATATTACGCACATCATAGCCATCCATGACAGCCCTCGACGACTTATACGAGTCAGTGTTTTTCATTTTCGTTCAAAAATCATTATAAATTATTGAACCATTTTATAGTATTGATTTAAAATTTGAATCGCACACTTTCGGGCGGCTTTCTTTTCCAATTGTTTCCACACAAAAAAATAGGATAAACATTATTTATGCATTATGGCGTCGGACACACCGGACCAAAATTTATCGCAGTATTTTTCCGTCTGCAACGATTTTATACATGCAGCTCGTTTGCGTGATGGTAACGTTTTGATACATTGCTTGGCCGGTATGTCGCGGTCGGTGACGGTAGCGGTGGCATACATTATGTCGGTCACACAATTATCGTGGAAGGAAGCATTGAAAGTGGTTCGTACCGGACGATCGGTCGCCAATCCAAATCAAGGTTTTCAATTTCAACTACAGGATTTTGAGGAGAATAAATTGCCCGAAGTAAGTGTAGGACAAATGGATTTAAGTAGGTACATTTCAAATCGAAGAGAAAAAAGTAATTCAGAAGAATGCAACTGCTTTTTGATCAAACAACACTGACAAAGCTCACAGTATATGGCTTTTATGGATGGATATGTATTCAATCTATTTCGATAGAAGTCTAAAACCTTACAATGTGAGATTTGTCGATGCCACTTGAGAAAAACAAGATCGTTGTTTTTCGCTTCTTTGAAAATCTGATATATTCATCTCTTCATTTCTTTAGGAGCGAAGGCGTTTAAGAGAGCGTTTTCCGACACTGACAATGGAGTCATTGGATAAGGATGAGTGTGCGGTGGCATTAACCAGCTACCAACAGCTATTGTTAAATAATGATATTTGTGAGGGGAATTGTGTGCGAGGCCAGAGCTGTCCAACAGGTGCCATGAGAAAAATACATTTTATTTTGATTCATCACAAATACACACACACCAACACATATTTACCCTTAGTCACATCCATTCAGAACAAGAAAGTCACTCATTTCAAATCAATTATTCGTCTCAAATCAATTTGATTACAGTAAAGCCTGTGAATAACGGAATCGGATGGGACCAGAAAATTTTTCTCGATGCAAAGTGTTTTTCCGCTATTAACCAGAGAGTGTTATGGGCCGATGTCAGCAGCACTAACTAACGTCAGCTACTGACGAGTATGCATTGTGTTATTTTAACGCATTTGCAGTGCACAATTCGTATTCCTTTCTGGGTGCCAAGTCAAATTTGAAATGAAACTTGACTTGGCACCCAGACAGGAATACGAATTTTGTACTGCAAATGCGTTAAAATAACGCAACGCATACTCGTCAGCAACTGATATCAGCAGCTGACGTTAGTTAGTGCTGCTGACATCAGCCCAAAACACGCTCTGCTATTAACAGCTTCCGTTATTCAAATGCCTTACTGTAACACATTAGATTCCTGTCATCATGAAAAAAGAGCGACAACAATTCAATCGCATTGCTTATTTAGATTTGCTTGTGATTAATCGCCTGATTTGATATCATTATTTTCATTACGTTTTAGTGTATTGAGGCAAAAGACTGCATATTGTGTGCCATACATGCCCAGTTTATTTTAAATATTCCTTTAGCCACAATAACAAGTCACTCAACATGAGCGGTGCCAGCGGTTCCTTTTGTATTGCGCCACTTGATTTGAGTGATGCATATATATATTTTTCTTCTTCAGTTTTGTTCATTTTTCAAATCGCAATTCACCAATAAAACAAATCTCACTAGAAACATCACACATTGTGTTTTAATTGGTTAAAGTTTTGTAGCATATAATTCAAGTCGGTAGCATCTCCATTGAAAAATGAGAGAAATATCGTTGAAGAATTGATCTTATTTGAACCCTTTCCCCCATTTTAGTCGCAGTTGTGCTTGTTTCAGTTGCTTTTGAACACTTTGAACGACAAGTCATAGTTATATTAGCTGCTTGCTATTGACGAACGCTAAAAATACAAACTGAGCGCTTATTAGACAAGTTTTGAGATGCCCACGAGTGAGAGATGCATGTCGTGTAGTTTTATTCATATCGAGCTGCCGTTATTTTTTTTATTGCACTTGATCATCATTATGCTTATAGTGTGCATGTAGCTTGAAGCAAGTGTACATAGAAATGGAAACACAACCCTGAGTCACTCACGTATTTAAATACTATGAAAAAGCACTCGAAGTGCTTTTTGATTTGAGCATTTTTTTTTTTCATTTGAACAATAAAATTGATTCGCGGCCGATCACTAACGATTCCAAATGGTTTGCAACAAAAAAAGGGGTTTGTAATGCGGATACAAGGCAAGGTATTTTCCGAAAGAAATCGAACGCATCACGATCACGGCTGTCAATGAATCAAAATCGACAAACATCATCGTGTCCATCATCGCCACGGCAAGGATTACGATTAAATAACAGCACATCATCGTTGACTCAACTCGATTCAAATGCAATGAACATAGCCACCGTATCATTGCATCGAAGTGCAAGCACGATGAGCTCACTTCGACCACGAAGCAGCCCGTCGGGCCTTTTTTCATATACAGGTAATATTGCAATTTTGTCCCAAACTCAAATCTATTTGATTCGAATGAGAAATTTAATCGAATTTCATTCACATTTTTCTAAAATCACTTAAAACGATTATTTTAATTTAATTTTTTTTTCATCAGGTTCTGCTCCGCCGTCCGTCCATGGATCGCGCGTTGATTTATCAAATTTGGATAAGGGTTCAGCCATTTATTTGGGCTGTTCGCCACCAAGGCAAAACAGTTTTTCCGGCATTCCAAGTACAATAGCTGCACAGCTACCGGCACCGAATACCACACCAAATACCGGAGCCATTAGCAAATTATCGAGCAGCCGAGGATCAAGTCTATCAATAAGATCAAGCAAATCACCGAAAAATACGCCACCGGCTAGTCCAAAGAAGCAGCAAAATCAAACGAAAACACGATCGACACCAACCAATACAATGACTGCCGCACCAACGACACCGTCAACAAACCGGTAAGCGCAAAGGGTATTCAAATTGGCCATTTTAAATGGTTTTTCTATAAAAATTTACAAAATCGTTGTAGAATTTAAAATAATCAATGATTAGTAATCATTCAACATTTTCTCTTTGCTTTGCCCCTTTCTATCTCTTCGTCTCTATATCTACCTAACTTCCTCTCTCCCACCTCCTCTGGTTTAGAAAATTGAGTTCAGCGACAACATCAAAACCAACGACAGTCGACAAATCGAAACCACCAATGCCGAGCTCATCTGCAAAATTGGACAAGAAAAAATCATAGGGAAGAATCAAGTCTTTTCACACCAAATAACACCCACAAATACACCACACCACATAACAACACACAGAGACATATTTTTAGTGAACTGTTTTTGATTGAAACATACATTTATTGAGCATAGCAGTATCACTGCGTTTTAGATGTAAAACCGAATAACAACAACTAACAAAAAGAAATCGCCTTTAAACACCTTATTTGATTGTTGAAATGATGCCACTGTTGTGTCAATGGTCGAGCTGTGATGCAAACATAAGCGAAAAAAAATATGACAACAACCTTTAATTAAAATGACAATGTTTCAATTTAGAGTGATAGAATACAAAGTTAGTATGGTTAAGGAAAGATTTTAAGAATTGTTTAAGATGATGATGTTGAACGGTCAATTGATTGAGTACAAAAGAAGCGACAAATCTGTTGAAACCAGTGAAAAAATCCCACGAATGTTGAATATATATTATATGAATCCAAAAACCATCGATAGAAACTAGGAAACCTACATATGCAAGTAAGCGCATCTCAGGCAGGTCATACACATGAAAGTACGTTCCACACATAGAATGGAATGCCACCGCTCAACTTAACAAGTCCACACTAATAATTGTTGCCAAAAAAAGAAAGAAAAAAAAATGACAAGAGTTATAGACGCTCATTGTATTAATGATTATTTACTTTTACACCACCCAGTGCGCATCTCAATCGAACTGATGCTTTCACTTACTATCAAACAATACTATCGCAATGATCACCACCAAATGCTTCAATTTATATATATATGTGTATGTATATCATGAACTCAGCTTTAATTCGATATTTTCAGTGTATAAGAAACAAAGGGATCCAGTTAGCACAACACACACACACATATATATAAACATGATCAGAGTATTTATTTTGGAATACTCAATTTAGTAGGCGAGTAGAAATGAATAAATAAGCTTTAGAGAATTGTGCATTTGGAAGAAAAAAAAAATGAAAGAAACGACGAAAAAGAAACAACAATTTATTGAGAAACTATAACATGAAAATGGAAAACAAATATCGTAGATCAAATATATCTATTAGTGAGACGTAAAAGAACGCAAGTTTGTTCAACTTCGCAGCAATAATGAGAAGTATGTTTCATTGCAACTAATAATGGTTAAAAGAATGTATGTTCGTTTTTAGCGGGCCCTCGCGGTTTTTCACGGTTTCCGCGGAACTGATAAGAGATAACAACTTGATGTCTTTGGCAAAGTTGTAGCACTCGAGGTCTTCTATAACATTGCTGAAGTCACTTATCTCTTATCAGTTCCGCGAAAAACGCAAAAAATGATAAGAAAAAAAAGTTCTATATAAAATTTTCTTTTTTATGTGCGCGATTTGCGCGCAACTGATAAGAGATAAGAGATAGATGTCTTCAGCAATGTTATAGGAGACCTCAAGTACTACAACTTTGCCGAAGACACCAAGTTGTTATCTCATATCAGTTCCGCGGAAACCGTGAAAAACCGCGGAGGCTAGACGGGATGCCAACATACTTCCTTTTAACGCAGATAGAATCAACAGAAAACATACTTTCCTTTTCAAAAATATAAATCGACAAAAAAACATACATTCTTTTACGTCTCACGAATAGATATGTCATATGCAGTGTTCTAGTTCATTTATTTTTTTTACGCATTTCCGGAACTATGGACAAGACTGAACTATTTAAACGGTTTTATTGTAAGAGTTAATTTAGTTCGACCATTTTCGGCGCAACAATGGCTTCATTTTTGTTTTTGTTTAAATGAAATGAATATAAAAACAAATTGCAATGAATTAAAATGAAATGTAACATCTTAATAAATGCAACACCTAGGAATATTATATATATATATATATATATAATATATATATTTTGAAGATGATAAAAGAATTACCAAGAAATTACAATTAATAGGGAAAAAACCAATCTGTTAATGTACAATGAAACCCAAACAAAGTGCTTTCTTGATGAGTTGAGTAAAAATCAGTTTGCTTAGTTGAATATTGACGGATGTTTTTCTTTTCTCTTTTTGATCACTTCTTTCTTTTTCATTTCTGAACCTTTTGTCAGTTTCTACTTCTACTCTTTCTTTTTCTCCCCATTTTCGATTCACTTCCTCTTTCTACACCTTTCCTTCATTTTTTTCTATTTTTTTCCAAATTTTTCAATCATTTTTTTTTATTATTGTCTTTCTTTTCCTCCCCATTAATATTTCGCTCTGAATGCCGATTTTCTTCTGTTTCTTCCCATTTTTCTTCAACATTTTCTTCATTTTTCAATTTTCAACATTTGCTCCTCATTGCAAATCGATCGCCCAGAAACTTATTCCACCAACTGATCATTTTTCATCCATTTTCGATAAACCGGAAGAGGTCATCTCAATGCATCGATCTGAATCGATCGAATTTTCAAAGCAAATCGAAAATTGTCGACTGAAATTTCAACTGAACAAAAAAAAGGCACAGAAAAAATGTGCTCAAGCACAAATCGATAGAAACAATGGTAAGGTATGGCCACTCCTTGCTCCGATGTGCCCATCTACGTGTCGCCCGTTATATAATACCTACTACCAAACGTACGCGAATCGACGTCGATGGTCTCGAAACGAAAAAAAACACCCGAGAAAAGTATATGATGGTCGTTTTTTTTAGCGAAGTTATGATCAATATATGTGCTAGGTGAATGCTTGGTAATGGACTACAATCGAGTAGTATACTCATTATGCCCAACTAGATGAGGTGGTTTGACATATTTTGGTCAAAGTGGTGCTCGCGCTTACTTTTTTTTATCAAGGTACACACTTTTCGTCTCTCTTTTTTACTTGGCTCCCTTTGTCTTCTTCATGTAGTTGTTGTTTTCGGTATCGTTTCGGTTGTCTCTTTTCTCTTCGTCTTTCGCCTCGATTTTATTCAGAAAATTGGTTTGTACAATGAGGTGTGGTCGCAAAAGCTACGGATTTTGATAGTGCGCCGCATTCAACCGTCAATTGGATGGCTCTTAACCGGCACATAAATATTGTCGCATAATAGCGACCGGGGCTACCGCTCACAATACAAACACACACACTCTCTACTCTCTCTCTCTCTCTCTCTTTCTCTCTCTCTAACTCACTGTGTGACTTTCGCATTCAATGACAACGAGTAATTCCAACTATTTTTCCTAATGCATCGAATAAATTAACGCTTTATGGTACTCAAGTGTGGTAATCAAGAATTAAGCAAATGCATCACAAAATGCCCCCCATGCAAATCTGATAAATTACATTTTTGTCGCCGGTTCGAAGGAAAAAAAATGTACAACATAAACTCAAAATTTACATCGAATTTTAAATGAAATGCAATTGGTACGTGTTATATGGAGGAAGAGTGAGTGAGAATTTTCTTTTCAACGAACAGTTTATTTTATACTCAACTGCTGCTGCTGCGTGTCGTACATAGTTTTTTTCGGTCTAGCTTTTGTTCAGTGCAATGTATATTGTCGCTGGCTGAAGACACACCCAACTATTGCATGTCATCTAAAATGTATTAGTCACTTCAATACAATGAAATGTAACGGGCGAATCGTGTGTGTAATCTTCCTTTTGTGTTTGAGGCGTCCAACTTGCTTCTATTCGCTCTGCCACCAGCAAATGTGTATGGAAAATCTTTTCCGAAAATTAATGTGAAATCGATGATTTTTGTAGCTCATTTACACTGAAATTAACCGCCACATTCCACTAAACGTTTCGACCGATCTTTGAAACTTGATTTTTTTTAACTGGAGAATTTCGTTGAACCAAACAAAATGAGTAACCGATACAAAGACAAAAAAACGATTGCAAAGTATGGAATTTGATAAAATGTTGCAACATTTCTGGAGTTTGCTTCAATTTCGTGATTGAATCAGGTGGTTAGTTTGTTGCCGGAGTAAATCACATTTCTTTGGCATTTTTCTTCGATTTACTTCAAAATATGATAAAAATATGGAGGAATCCCAACTTACTTTGTTGATTGCAAAGAATACCAAAGCGGTATCCATTTCGATTTGCAGTCGGTTGACATTTTCACTGTCTCTGGTGAATGAATCAGTTTTTCCAGAATGAATTTTCATGTGTATTTTCAGCTATACTTTCAGTTATTTCTTGTTTTTTTTTTGGTTTTCTTTCTGGTATTTTTCGTTGCTTTTTTCCGCAGGAATTGCTGAATTTCACTATACGTATAGCGATGTGCTACGATGAACTTCCTAATTTAGGTGTCTATTGTGGTATTTTAACGTAACTATATTGCAGGATTCATATTTGCTCCGATATTTATGCGCAGTTTTGTAATTCTTACTCTTGTATTTTTAGTGAAAAATCATTTTCCTCACTTATGATGAGAATGGTTGTTGCGTCCAAAAGAATTCCATTCTTCACATTGAAGAAAACATAAAAATCTTCATTCTCTAAATGTTGCAATATTGTAAACTGAGAAACTTGAAAGAAATGCAAAGTGCTTCATTATCGAAACCTAAAAAGGGATGAATAAGAAGAAAAAATGAAAAAAAAAATCGAAGAAAAGACGATTTTTTCTTTGTTATTCCCAAAATGAAATTGTTCTTTGCAAAAGGGCACGTAAATGTCATCGTTTTAAAAGGTTCCCCATATACATTTTTTCTTCTCAACGGTTTTTGATGACGGTTTTGTGCGCGGGCGCTCATAAATGTATGTGATTGTTTACGCTCAATAAAAAGTGTTTGCACCAATTTGGGACGGGACTGCAAAATCAAATCACTTTCGGCCACCTCATTAAATGGCAGCCCATCACCCACCCATACACACACACGCGACAAACAAAAACAAACCGAATGCATCGCTTGCCACTTTGGATCCATTCTCTGCATAATATTGGATGTGTTAGCGTAAATGATGGAAATGACGTGGTTAAATGGTTGAAGCCGGCGGTTCCTGCTCCTTAGAATGTCCATTATGCATCATGAATCAGCAACAAAATAACCCGATTAAATGCGACGAACCATAAACGATTTTATGCAACGGTGTTGATGTCCTAATCAAGGCACATAAGCGTACCACACACCGTTTTTATGGAGCGTCTGAACTTTTCAAAGCACTTAAAACTGTTAACAAGACACAAAGAAAAGGAAGAAAAAAAAACCAACGCCACCTATTCCAAACATGTCAATCAATTTGCTCCGAATGATTGGCGATGATGATAATAATGACGAAATGGATCACTTAACAGTTGGCCGATGCACGCGCCGTCGTTCGAATTGAAATTGTGTTTTATTGAGTCGTAATTTTGATCGCTTTTCATTATTCGACACGTTTTATTCTTTGTACCTGCGCTAATCAAAATCTTTCATTAGATCAACTCAAACTATGTCCATTTTCTTCTTGACCATTAACAAATCCATTTGATACTTAGCAAATTTACAAAGTCTCATTTGCACTTTTAACGATCTAAAACGCAAATAAAGATGTGACGCAATGAAAAATATGAACGGATTTCCTGAAACGCATTAGAATTGACAAACATATTTTCACCTAAATGAAAATTTTAGTTTCCAATTAAGCGAAACCGTTGTTTCGTTCATTCTCCGGAAGAATAAAAGTGATTTACAACTTATTTACTCCATTTTATGTTTGTTAAAGACTTTGACGTTGAAATTCAAACAAATTTGTTTGAAAAAAGAAACGTGTAAAAGCGGGAAACCGACTAAAATAGGGGATTTTTGTCCTAAATGGAGTCGTTATGAAATTTAAAGCTGGAAGAGGCATGACATTAGAGCAAAAAAAGAAGATTTTAATAAGTTACAATTGGCCAAATACCAAAATAAAGCCCATTGAAACGGTCAATATCCATTTTTTTTTGCTTTTCGCATTCCTTTTTCTTACGTTCTATCTATCCTCTAACTTTTGTCTTGTGCCTTCTGCTTGCTGAAAATGGCACATCATTCTTTCCACTCTACGACCAAAAAAAAAGATCGCGGTGAAAGCTCGAATAAAATCGCTATGACATTGTCACCACCACCATTGTCAAAATGTGCATATGATGAATTTGGGATGTTGCGTGCGCCGGTCAATTCATTCAATGATTACGTTAATAACCGATGCCATTTTTTAGTCTGAAATGAAAATAAATTTTTGCTTCGATTGTGTTCCACGGTGTGTTTCTTGGGCCAATGAATCGTAATGAGTTTTGATCAAAGCGTTTGTGTCTCGGCTCATTTGCGCATAAATCAAGAGCAAACGAAGCGGCGATAATAAATCTATTGGAATAAAAATAGCTAAGGAAAAAGAATCCACATTTGCCGAACGAACGAGGGAAAAAAAGTATTGGAAATCGGTCAATGGGAAATTACTGTCAGCGAGGACAGCGAGCGCCGCGGTTTCATTAAAATCATGTAATTTGCCATGAATTCAAAGTCATCCCTTGGGCCCATCCTATTTTTTTCCTACTCTTCTTTTCCTCCTTTTCATCGAAGCGGTTTCTATCGTTTAGCGCAAACACATAAAGTCAACAACCAATTATTCCAACTTACTTTTATAAAAAAAAACCACGCGCACATTCTCGAGCAAGAAAATCCAAAAAGGACCGTTACATAGGCACCGTTTCTCGTCTTTGGCCATTTCATAAAGATATTAACAGGATAAATGGCACATAAAGTTAAAGAAAATATAGGGAACGGACGAAGAGAAAATAATAGAACGGGCCAATCAAACAATGTTGCAATTCGCGACCAGAGCAAAACGGTCATATAACGAATTTGACATGCGTGCATGTGTATGGGTGTCTTTGCCCCATAAAACACGACAACGTATGGCTGTTGTCGTCGTCGTCGTCGTCGTCGTCAGTGTTCGTTCCCATGTGCGCTCTTCATTCTCAATAGCCTTACCTTCAATTTGAATATGCGCGAGCGCATTTTGATTTACACACAACAAGCCCCAGCACACAAAATATTATTATATAAAACTAAAGAGCACCGCACGAATGTTACACATTCGACAGAGAATGAAAAAAGAAATTCCACTAAACGGAATCCAAATAAATACGCCGCGAATCGGTCAAAGGCATTTCAGTGTTCAGGTAACCGTTCGACGATCAATTTCAAACAACAACAACCGCACTCTGATTACCAAAATCGCAACAATTTTGAACTTCATTGGATTCACACATACACAACACATCCGATTTAGATCGAAATGTTCGTTGAAAAAGTAAGCAGCATTTCGAAACAAATATTGGCAATTTAATTTTTTTGAGACATAAAGTTATCGAAATCAAAGTGCCGTGCATTTTTTTCAGTCGAAAAAAGAATTTTCTCGTTGTTATTTAGTTGTTTCGCGATGACAAAAAAGAAAATACGAAAAAAAACGCAACATTTGAAGTTTAATTGGATTAAGTTCTTTTCTTCCCTTGGATACAAATACAATTTTCATCATTCAATCAACACCAATTTCGTGTTTGGGGCAAAACGTCATTTTTGACCATTTTTTTACAAGTTTAATTTTTTCCGTTTAAACAGCACAAACGACATGAATTTTAAAACAAAAAAGAAGAAAAAATTAGCCGTTTCGGTGGTTTCATTTCAAAATATTCAATTAAAACCACATTAACATTTTTCCGATTCAGAACAGTAAAAAAACTGTTGTTGTTTCATTCGTCATTTATTGGATGAAAAAACTCGAAAAATTTTCACTCCGTCATCAGTTTATTTACTTTATTATTCGTTTGAACGGTGTGATCATCGATCAGTTGTTTAAAATAACTTCATTTTTTTCTGTCGTGCAAAGTTCATTTGGATTTGTTTCAGTTGAATTAGTTTAATTTTTTTCTTCGGTTCATTTTCGGTGTTAACATGCAATTTGTTTGACACAAATGACAAAAAATAGATGTTTTTAATCAAAATTCGTTTAAATTTAAAAGTTTTCGTTGAATTTGGAATGAAATTTGCAAAATTTCAAATGAAATTGGCTTCAATCACTCAAGTCAGTGGGTTTTCTATTCCATTCGTTAATGTTTATGATTTTAATATGCATTTGTATTAACAAATTTGGTTTCTTTGTTGTGTGTGATTCGAAAAATCTAGTGCAAATCGAAGGTAAATTGAATATGTGAGAAGTTTGCTTCGTTTTTTGTTTGTTCTTTTCAATCTATATGTATTGTTATTAGGTAAGTCACCAAAAAAAAAAAACTGGGATTAAATTGGTATCATGCGCATTCACAACACACGGGCGGCTCAAACTCTGAATACATTGAATTCATTGAAGCATAAATCCCGCTGATGAAATTCAATGCGCCAACTTCCATTTGTTTTTTTTTATTAATCGAGAAATCGTCGTGCCATGTCCAGTAACAATCAGAAACCAATAATAATAGAAAGGCACACAGAGACACGCGCGCCGAGCGAGAGATAGAGAGAGAAAGATACAGTCGGTCATAGTGGTGTAAAATATTCAGCTGATCTGAATGTATTTCGATTTCCAATTGAAAATCGATTCGATTTTCTTCATTTGCCGTTTTTTTTTTCTAATTTTTGATGGATTGAATCGAGATTAGGAAATTGATCCGTTGTAAATATCGTGACCATACACGCATATCGTTCGCGCACAGCTCGAATAGCCAAGCAACCTCTCCCTCGCATAGTATATGTGAATTTTCTGCAATTTTTCTTCTCTCTCTCTCACTCTCTCTCCGTTATCGTTATTTATTACCTAATTAATGCATTCATTAGGCTGCTTGCAGTAATCGATTCCCATTGCTAAATGTTATTTAAAAATCACCTTTCGGTTATCTCGCGAACGAGCGTGTCCATGTATGAAATAATGGCAGCAGAATAAAACAACAACAAGCGAGAAACAACGACAGTCAACGCGAAATGAGTGGCATTCTCTCTTCGCTTCTATTACAATCAATTCCGAATAGTAAATATTATCCATTGAGGTGCGGCCGGCTTTCATGATGATTGCGTTATGTATATGTTTGTTCTTGTGTCGCGCTCGACCTTTTTTTCTCTCTTTCGCTTTCCGTATTCTACAGTTCGCCACCCGCGCCAACCTTTACTCGCACGTTTTTGTTCCATCATTGCTTGGATGTGTTCTTTTTTTTCTGTTCAAACTACTTTAGTTTCTGCTCAATTCTCATTTATAGCTTGGCATTGTGTTAAAAACCACCGAATATATTTTCGTATTACATTTCATGTCCTCCGTTTTTTTAGTCTTCGTTAAAGACCCTCGAGGAATGCCATTGTTTTAATGGCCATAAATCAGGAGTAGCTCATCATTTTAATGCAACTGTGAATTTATATACTTGGACAAGGAACTACTTTGCAAGGAACGGCTCGGATCATTGTGTTTTAGTAATTGTTTGAAACATTCGCAGTTTTCATAAAGCGTTTTATTTTATCAGGAGTTGACAATGTTCAATCATTTGTAATGATTCATTACGAAATATTTGATCACCAAGAATTGAATTTATCCATCATTTGGCTTGAGAAGATTCTTTTTGAATTTATATCAACTGCTTCGATTTCGGCAATATGCTTTTCGATCGTCAAACCAAATGGGCATGTCGTGAACGAGCCTGAAAGTTGTGCTGAACCTTTACGATAAAATCGTAATTGAAAATAAAGGTGAGCAAATTTTCAGGTGTGTTGAAGATATGAGCCCTTGCAGCACATGGCCTCGAGTCGACACATTCTATTAAATGGATATGGTAGTGGATGGGATTAATATGACATTTGGGTTTGCCGTTACGTGACCAAAGCGCGAGAGACACTTCCCTATATTATTGCTCACATCTTAGAATTTGCTGTTGACCTGTGCACATTGTTGACGAGGTGAGCAAATTTTCAGGTGTGTTTAATACTATAATCCGTCGAATGGCAGCTAGCAACGGTTTCGTTTGCGGTTTAAATTACAACAGTGACAAGTATGCGGCTTAGATAGATCGGTTTCATTGGTTTTATATTTTTTTTTTTTTGGATAATTTTGCAACTAATTTTACACCTCAAAAGTAATTGATTGATGAATCAAATTGTAGCAGCATTCAAATTACCTTTCGACGGATAGCTTTTGTTTGAAAATTAATATTTGTGACGAGTTTCTATTATTTCTGTGATTTTTTCATTTATTCTATAATTTCTATTATTTTTTTTTTCATTGAAACAACAAAGTTTTGGTCATCAACGACAAAATTTCATTTCGGTTTCATCAAATCTTAATGTATTTCGGTGTTAATTCCAATATTCTAGTCAAAAGAATACAATAGAATGTGTTTTTCCCAAGAATAATTCCATTTCTTCTCATTTTCTCCGAGATTCATAATAAATTGAATTAAATTATTTTGAATTTTTTTCAACTTTAACAATTTTATAACAGATAACAAAAAAATTGAATCCAAAATCCAAATAAATGCAATTTATCATTTATGAGAAAACGAAATTTTTGGTTTTATTCCACCGTTTTAGGTACAAAATATCTATAGATACTAATCACATAAGTTGTACGTGCGATCCAATGGATCCACGATTCACTGCTTTGACTAATTGCTTGTTGACTTTTTGACGCAGCAACATTTGTTCGAGCTTCATTTTCGAGTTGTTCCCTGTCGCGTTGCTGCTGGCCTTGTAGAAATTCTCGCTGCTCATTAACAAGCAATTGCACCTGTTCGCTGATTGACTTTGTATCGGCTCGAATCACAACAAACTCTTTATTTATGTCGGACAACAGATCATTTCGATTATAAAAACTAAAAGCAGTACCACAAATTCCGAGAAGAGCACCTGAAAGGAAATTGATTGGTTAATTATTTAAATAGATTTTTGTATTGGATTCCAATCCACAGTTTCATTCAATTGATTAGCCATTCATTTTTTTCATATGACTCTTTTTTTTTCCAGAACATGAAATTGTGAATGGAAATTAATCCACAATTAGTTTTGGAATTTCATGAACAAACTCAAACAACAAGTACAATGGCAAACAATTGATAATAAAGATTATTTGATGTATCAATCTGACATATATTTATAAGCCTATGATTTCAGAGGCATCATCAATTTCATTCAAAATAAAGAATTTACGAATGAAAAAAATGTAAAATTCGACCAAAACGATCGAGCATTAGTCTTTAATCGGTCAAATTTGCGATGTTTTACCTGCTAATGATCCAACAATTGACCAATATTTTGCCGAATTCGTATGAATTTTCTCCTTTTCATGTGACGTTTTCACAGCTGACTGCATCAATATGAACAAATCTCTTTCGGCTTTGTCCAGCAAACTGAATTCCTCATTTTTTTGCTTTTCTTTGTTGGAAATCTGGAAGAAAATGAAACGGGTTATTAACGCCGTTAATGAAAAAAACCAAATATTTCATCCAATTTTGTCAACCACCACAATATAAAATGAATTTGACGATGAATGATGAGAGACTTGAAAACTTGTTTCAAAATTGAAATTTTCCTTTTTTTTCTTCTTCAAATTCCTCAAACTCACTTCAATTTCTCTGCGAATGAGCTCCAAAAATCTGGGATCGCCTTTAGGGCAATTGGCTTGATCGGCATAGCACGTTTGCAATTCATATCGAATGTCACTAAGCTCCTTGGAAACATCACGCCGCAAATTTTGGGCCTGGCTCAGTTTGTCTTGCAGTTCTTCGACTTGCTTATGAGCTTCACGTACTTCGTTTGTGTGTGAAATTTCATCGTACCAATTGAAGAATGCATCCCATTGGCGTCGGAACAGTGATTTGCCACCGCTAATAATATTCGTTGAGACTGGAGTAAATCTTTTGGTGTCGTTGAGCAGAGCGTTGATTTTTGGAAGAACTGACGACGTTGCTGAGGACAATGGCTGTCGAGTGCTAAAGTCACGGTAATTCACCAAAAAACTCGTACTCTGTCCACCCCATATCAAATGATGGTAATTTGTGTTTAAAATTCGAGTATCAGCCAATCCATTAACTCTTCTGCAGTTTACCATACGACCAAAACCATACTTGCACACCAATTGATTCGCTACGTTTTTAGACATTTAAAAATTTCCGTGTCAATTTCAATAGAACTAAATTTTCAATTCGAAAGAAAAAAAAACAACAAAAACAAAACAACCATCAAATAGTGCGAGCTTATCGTTTTTTTAGCGATAAAACTGAATGACATTGTCAACGTGCGGCTTTAGGATTTTGTTTACGGTCCGAAATGACATATGTTGTTATGAACATTCACATAGCAACTGTGAGTGCACGCAGTGAACGCGGGCGCATCGTGAAAAATGTCAACCAATTTTTTCAGCTAAAAATAAATTTGGAAACAAAATTCTAGATAATAAAAATGAATAAAAAGAATTCTTTTATTGATTGTGCAACCAGAAAAAAAGAAGAACATGAAGTCAATAGTGGGAATTTGGTGTTGAATGTACGTGCGTGACATGAATTGAACGTTGCCAATGAAATGTCATGCACAGCGACCGAGTCCGTGTATGTGTGCGAGCTGTCAAAATGAATGGTGCGTGTGCAATGGTGTTAGTTTTGACCGAGTTTATGTGTTTATGCGTGACAACTCCTAGTTAAAAGTTGGCGTTTGAAATGCGAATAACTCACATCGACCGTATTTGGCACTGGTAAGTTTTGCACATCTCGCGCGGAATTAAATAGTTTCGATCGGTCTGTTCGTATAAAAACGTTTGGTGTCATTGCAGAGAACGAAGCGACAAAAATAGGCGGCCAACGACAAAATTTCAACGAATTTTCTTCGAAACGAATAAGATAAAATATCACAGTCAAAATCATCGAGCAAAACTCCTGATTTCCGTTGCTTCATCCGACTTCAAGTAAATAAAGTGTAAGTCAACGCAAAAATTGTGCCTGTTTTTTTTTGGGTGATTTTCCGAAAAAGTGGCAAGTGAAGGCCATGCCAGTTAGAAAATCAATAGAGCAAATTGTTTTCAATGAAAGCCGTTTATATGTGCCGAATGAGTGAATATATTTCGAGAATGCTACGAAGCGCGATGACCCCGTGCCGTAGATTAATCAATTTAATTAATTGCTCCATTTATGTGATGTCCAATTGATATGTACGTGTATATTCATATTAGGCCATTTATTCTCTCTCTTTTTCTCTTGCTTGTATTTGCATTTAGAGACGGAACGCGCGCGCCGCACATTTTTGTGTCTATTTGGTAATATGGCATCATCACGATATACACATGCGATAGTGTGTCGGATACCATTGTCGTTTCGCACGCGTGGCGAAATTGATTTGGAGGAAGCGAAACGCGAACATGAAGCCTATGTAAATTTATTGCGTGAATTGGGCTTGGATGTCATTGAATTGCCGCCCGATGAAAATTTCCCCGAATGCACATTTGTCGAAGACACAGCCGTCGTATGCAATGGCATTGCCCTGATCACACGGCCGGGCCAACCAAACCGAACCAACGAAACGGAAAACATTCGAACGGTGTTCAAGAAAGAGTTAGACATTCCAATTGTTGAAATTGCCGATCCAAATGCCAAATTGGACGGCGGTGATGTGCTGTTCACGGGCAAAGAGTTCTTCGTCGGTTTATCGCCGTGGACGAATGAAGCTGGTGCAAAAGCGGTTGCGGCCGCTTTTCCCGAATATCCATGTGTTCCAATCAAAGTTACCGAACAACAGCATCTGAAGTATTACATTTCCGTGGCTGGACCGGATTTGTTGTGTGTCAGCAGTACAAAGGAATCACAAGAGATTTTACGACGAATCGAACGCGAAGCAACATTTTCATACCAAACACTGACGCTGAGCGAAGCATCTGCCGCTAATGTGCTCAATGTGAACGGTACATTGATACACCGGGCTGTACAAGATTGTCCCATTTCGTCGGCGGTCATTGCCGATAAAATCGATGTTCCGCGTCAAACGTTACAATTTTCACAGCTGGGCAAATACTCAACCGGACTGACGGCATGCTCAGTTCTGCTGCGTCGCACCAAATACATTCGAAATCTCTAAGATGAAAAACTAAATTCGCACAAATTCGGCTAGGGTGTGTGTTTTACTAAACACGAAAATGGCAATTGTTCTTGGGCAAAAAAACGCGCTCGAAAGCACCAAAGATCCTTTATGATATTTCTTCTTTTTTTTCGTCTGACAAATCAACCAACACTTTTTGATTGGTTCTAAAACAACGTTCGCTCCCCAACAACGTTGACAACATTTTTCGACACAGCAAACACACACTCCACCGAATTATGCGCGAATGACAAGCCACACCACGTACAATTCCTTATTCAATTCATATATTCAACAGTGTTGTGCAAAGCAATTCAAATATGCCATTTATTTCTGTGGATTTTTTTTAGGTTGGTTCGAAGTCAGAGTAAGGAAAAGGTCCTTTTCGGCATCCAAGTTGTGACTTCTTCAACAATAGACCATTTTCAATTATTCGTAGAGGAACATAGCTTGAAAATGAAACAGAGTGAGAAGAAATTGTTTTGGTTCTTCAAATGGTGTGTACCGTTGAAGAGATGCCAACTGAAAAGACCCAAGAAGAAGACCTCCTTCCGGCTCTGAGTTGTTCCTTCTCCGAACCATCAATTACTTTGCAAATCACCATCCTAATTCAGTATACTTCCAGTCAACAACAGTTCAATCACAAGCAATCCAGTTTTATTTCCAAAAATATTTTTGTATCAGAGTTTTTTTTGTGTAGTTTAACTCTTTGCGTGATGCCATTCGGAAAATTTGATGATGATGTAGAAACAATTTTGGTAGGCGATATAAATCGCAAGGAAAATCAAATTGTTCACATTTTTCGAAATGGCCTCTGCCGAACATTAATTTATACCAATTTGAAGAATAATTCTAGATTTAAGAATCTAACGCATATGATTAGCTACAAAACGTTTAAGGGGGCGCACGCACCGTGTTCAACAAACTTTTTTTTCTTTTGCTCGGTGTTCGGTCTGAATTCCGTCAAATGTGTATTTTCGGTCAGCATTTATATTTATTATTGTGGTTATTATCAATTATACGACTTTTTGGTGTGTTTTGGACGATAGATATTAATAAATGAACAATTCATTCCAAACTGAATTGCGACGCAGTTCAATGTATGAATCTCCGTATTATTAGCTTGTAATTGCTTTGAAATGTATAAGTCTTCATTTTGTTATGGAGTTTTTTTTTACAATAATCCACAATGCAGTCAATAGTATTTCTTTTGGAAACAATGAAAATAAAGATACAATTTCATCAGATGAATAATTACGTGTTTTTATAGTGTTTTTTTTTTTTTATATTTCAACAAAGTTCGGCGATAATTCTGGAGTTTTGTTCAATTTTTTTGGATTAATTAATTATGATCCGAACATATGGAAAATTACCAGAAAAATATCGAAAATGATCAGAAGAATATTCAAAATGATCAGAAACTTTTTTATTAATTTGATCAGAAAAATATCTAAAATGATCAGAAAAATTTGGAAATTAGCCGAAAAATATCTAAAATGATCAGAAACTTTTTTATTAATTTGATCAGAAAAAAACCTAATATGATCAGAAGTATATTTAAAATTATCAGAATCTCTTTTCGTAACTTGATCAGAAAAATATAGAATTTATCAGATATATATCGAAAATTAACAGAGAATTTTTCGAAATATGATCAGAAAGAAATATATTTTTATCATAAAAATATCCGAAAATGACCAGAATAAATTCGCATTTTGACCAGAAAACTTGATAATTTTACCATGAGTTATATTACCTAATTTTGTGCTGTTCTTACCTTTTGGCTCTTTATTTCATTTGATTTCAAAAGAGGAAGAGTAGAAGGAAAAAAGATGGTAATTTTTAAGAAAAAAGATTTGAAAAGAAAAATTTGGTTGGAAAATTTTCGGAAAAGCACCACTGTGGAAAATCGGATATTTTTAAATATAGTTCTGTTCATTGTAGTTTTTTTTCTGATCAATTTTGAAAAAAGATTTCTGATCATTTTAGATATTTTTCGGCTAGTTTCCAAATTTTTCTGATCAAATTAGGTTTTTTTCTGATCAAACTAATAAAAAAAGTTTCTGATCATTTTCAATATTTTTCGGATACTTTGCAAATTTTTCGGATCAAATTTGTAAAAAAAGTTTCTGATCATTTTAAATATTTTTCGGATCATTTTCGAATTTTTCGGATCATTTTCGAAATTTGAGGATCAAAATTAAATGAGCCAATTTTTTTTCTCGAATTTTTTTTTCTCGAAATTCACGATTTTTTCTAGAAATAGAAACTTTTTTTATTCTTTTGTTACAAATTTTATAAAACTTTAATTGAATAATCCAGTTCTCTTTTCTTCTAGGGTGTGTAGGGATGCTTGGCGCATTGTCCGCAAAAGTCATTCTCGAACAGTTGATCCCAGTCGCATGCCTGAGATCGTTTCAATCTATCAAATTGAAGTTTGTCTTTGTTCTGGCCCATTTTGTTGCAAAAAAAAATCTTTTCATTGACGTAAATTGTGGTCCTACATGCTCCAGGTAATCTTTCACGCACTTTGTTCAATGCTCTTAGATCGAGTTTGTCCAAACAAACGTAGTGAATAAACAAATGCTTTAGTTTCGGAAAATAGCCCCGAATGTTCGGTTCTATAATATCTGAAATGGCAACGTTCCACGATATCGTTAACGTTTTCAAATACCGAAACCGATCTGCAGCTTAAATCAAATTGTATTTCTTTTAGGCTTGTTATTCGTGGAAATATAAAACAGGGAGTAAAATAAGCGTGATTCAAGCACAAAACCGGTAGTCAAGATTTCATTTCGGTAGTCAAAAATTGTATTTTCGGTAGTCCAAATGAATGTGATAAATATAAAAAAAATACCGATTTTTCACATCAGATCCGAAGAGAGAAAGCGAAAGAAGAGTAAAACACATTCACCAGCTGATAAATTCAAACAGTTTTAATATTTTGGAGAACAAGTAAGAATTGAATCATCATATCAATTTTGCGAAATACATTTCCTCGGTTACAGAGTTCTCTAGACTATGATTTGTTTATGTTCATCTTCAGTCGGCTTCAGAAGCAACTCCAATCGGATGAATTGACACTAATCGCAATGAAATCGCACATCGACTCAATGCTAAGATTTTTGAATGGCATGCAAAATAGCCAAAGTCCAGGAGGTTTTGAAAGGAATTTAGCTTCAAAATTGGTGCGTAAAGAGGATGAAGACCAAGTTTTCTTCAAATCAATTGAGCTCAAATTTGGAATATTCGGATGTAGGACGCGTCGAGCGCCAATGAATGTAGCTGATGTCCGTACAAACACTTCGGTTGCTCTTTCTGATTTCCTGACCAATAGTTTCGTATTTAAGGGAGTTTTCTCGGAAGCGAGAGCATGCAAAGATGAAGAAGATGACGACGATGAAACTAATAACGATGGAAACAGCATTTTTGATTTCTAAATTCATGATTTGTCTTGATTTTCCTAAATTCATTTCACATTCATTACAATTAATGATGAAATTTATATACATTTTGATGTACGAGAAACCAAATATTAAATCTAATAAAACACTATTAAAAAATGGTACTCAACAAAAAATGTCGGTAGTCAGAAAAATGTCTTATTTTATTCTCTGATATAAAATCAATTCCGTTGTTCAGAACTTCTAATCCAATTTTGCCAAGCTTCATAAGAATTTCCGATTCTTCTGGATTTTCATTGAGTGAAAAGTAATGTAACAGCAAGTGCCTTGCGACGCACAACGGTTATTCAGTATCGGATAATGGGACAACACAAGCAGAAAAATATCGTGCAATTTTTATGCGATGTCTGCCCTATGCGGTATTGAAAATAGGTCCAACATTGCTGATTTAATTTTTTTTCGTGTTACACAGTGTAGTTGTACCCGATACGTTGTGTGTTCACATATCGTCACAATCCAATCATTGTATTGGTTAACGGAAAATCAGTGAATTTTGAACAAACATCCAATTCAAAGGTGTCCATGATTAATATCCATGATTTTCGGTTTGGCTGAGAAAACAAAATGCTATGTGAGAGATAAACATAATTGGATGACTAAATGCATTTTTTTTTCTATAGAAATCGTACTGACACACGGTGTGCTGAGTACGCATGAAAGAGTGAAACGTAAATAAACGGCCGACCCAAAGGAAACGTTGTGTATTTTGGTTTGTAGATAAGATAAGGAAGTGTGGTTTCATTTGTGTGTGCATATTCTATGCCATCACTTACACCGATTGCTGTCTTTCGAAATTAAATGTGAGAGAAACAGTGATTATTAGTTACCTGGAGTGCAACCATCGAACGAAAATCCGTCCTAGTTTAGTAGAATTGCTAATTTTTTTCTTTGGACTATCACAAACAATCAAAATTTCGAAAAGTGTTAATGGTAAAAATATGAAGCAGTTACAATTACCAGTGTTGCTTTTGATTAGCTGTCAGCTTTTTTGGGTCGCAGCACAATTGAAAAGTGAGTATGAATTATTTGTGATTAAGTGACACCTTCAACAACAACAACAACAAAAATTGAACAATTTTGGGCTGGGTCACAAAATGAAATCATTCAATTTTCGCGAAACGCACGTTTTTTTTTGTCGATGAAAAGAATCGCAATTGAAATGCAATTTTATGGTTTCACATCGAAAAATATTGCTGATCTGCATGAATTTTTCCATAAATGCGTTGGCACCAGCGGCAGGTGATTCATTGATCTCAACACCGATAACATCGATTTGAATCATCGTTTGAATATGTGAAAATTGGACGCTGGACTTTGACAGAAAACAATATTACATGGCATTATTCATTCAATTGTCCATGTTTTCTTACTCCCAGATTGTTTTTCTATGGAAAAATTGTGAAATTTTGTCTGTCAAACAAAAGGATGAAATTAATTCACCATTGTTTTTCCATGAGTATTGAACACTTCTTACGAAATAATGAATAAATTTATCTTTCTCTTTTCAAAATTGCGTTTGATCATTTGATCCAGTCAAACATGTGTGTGTAACTAGTGGATTTGAGGAGCAGTGCAATCGTTTGGCGCGAGAAACACAAGAAATAAGATGCGTTCGAGTTCAAGACAGCATTGAATGTGCCAAACACTTGCGGAATGATGCATCCGGCTTTGGTATATTCAGCGCTGAATCAACATTGTTATTGGCTGCATTGAACTATGACGGTCTCACCGTTCTCAAAGAGCTGAGACATCGCGACCGGCTAAATTGTAAGTATGCGTCATATTCTATGGAAAGATATGAGTTCATATGTGGAAATGACGCAAAACAACTCTTTCTATACTGATAAGTGGCATCTGTTTTTAATAAGAGGAAAACAAAATCATTAGATAAACACTATGAACATTTTCATATTGAATTCGACGATAATGAAAAATTTGCTCATACAAAATTTACATTTACTCAATCCGATATGTTTTTGTTATTTTTTTCAAAACCAGACACAAGTGACTTTGAATCAGTGGTGGTTGTAAAAGCAACGCATAAAGGTGGAATCGAAGGATTGAAGGGCAAAAACTATTGCCATCCAGGACTTTATTATGATCGATCTGAACGATGGAGCGAACGGTTTTTGAAACACTTCGAAAGAAGCGTCATTGCTCCGGATTGTAATGATCCCTTGAAATCACCCGCTGAAATCGAACTTGAAGCTCTGGCCAAGCATTTTGGATCCGGTTGTCGACCGGGTGCTTGGTCAAATAATCCGGAAGAAGATCAGAGATTGAGTAAGTCTTTGTATATTTTTCGTTTTTTTTTTTTTCACGAAATTATTGAATTCTTTTCAGATTGAAGAATATTTGAAATAGTTTTCTCTAGTCGATTTTAGTTCGATTTCTTCCTATATAAGACAATGCTTTAATGTTTTCTACTTAATTTAAATAGAGGCAAAATACCCACAATTCTGTGATTTGTGCACATCAACCGCTAGCCCTTGTGAGTATACAGACAAAAATCGGCATATTGAGGCTCTGCGCTGCTTGCTCAACAAAGGAGAAGTTGCTTACGTTTCACTGCAGGATGCTCAAGACTTCTTCTCACCGGTAAATTATACGCTGTTTATTATTTTGTTCTTTTTGCTTGTTTTCATGGAGATAAACACAATTGGATGACTAAATTTCGTTGAAAATCCTGTTTCTTCAATAGAAAATATAAATTTTTGAATCTTTTTGCAGCTATCTGAGTATTCCCACCTAAAGACTGAGTATGCTTATCTGTGCCCAGATGATACTCTTCAATTGATTAGCGACAATTCCAAACCACCTTGTGCATGGCTACGTCAACCATGGCCTGTTATCATTTCTAATGCGTTAGTTTTACATGATTTTCTTATCTAAAAATATAATTTTTTTTTAAAAAACAATCAATAAACAAAAAGTAACAGCCGAAAAGACTTACACACAATCAAAATTCGAATTCCAGCGGTGACAGCATTCCACTAAAGGAAGGAATTAATCGGTGGATCTATGGTTTGAATGGATGGGAAAGTGCTATTAAAGACATCATAACCGCTGACAATTTGACTCCGGTCATAACAACCATCCAAAGGCCACGTGATATCTTCTTCCCTTGTACGTAAAATTTTAACTAAAAACCTAATTCATATTACTTGAGTCATTCGTGACCAAATTTGATTTTATTATTTCTTCTATTTAATCCAATGACGGTTTTTCGTTAGCCAGCATTATCTTAGCCTTGGTTTACACCAACAACTGGTGTAAGCCAATCATTAGCCACCTATCTGTGTGAAATGAGTACAATCAATGTACAATAATTTTTGATTTGAGTATTTTGATTCAAATCATACAAATTAATATGAAAATTATTATACTTCATAAAAGTCATTTTTATAATTTGAATTGTGAAATTTCACTGATTTAATCTTCATTTTTCAATTTTGACACACTTAATGAAAAGTGATTGAAATGCCGCTCTGGCGTTGTTCAAGTTAGTGAAATTGAGTTTTGATTGATTTTCATCTATTTTCAGATCGTGAAGTGCCTTACAGTCTACCATTATGCTCAACCACAGCCAATTGGTGCACAAAGTCGATCGAAGAGAAGGAAAAGTGTGATGTGCTTCATACGGCTGGTGTCACAACAGGTATTTTGATTAGAGTAACATCCACGCTATTCTCCAGCGACCCTATTTTCATTAATTTTCATATTTGAATGGGTGATCGAATTATCCCATTCATTGAAAATATGTCTCATTCAATAACTTGAAACTAATTTTCTCACTGTTTCCATAAAGGTATTTTCCCATTGATTGAATGTAACGAGCCGGTTGCTGGAGGAGCTATCTCTTGCCTAGAAGAAGTGAATGAAGGACGCGCTGATTTCACTGGAATCGATTCGAGTCTTGGATACATTGCAAGACAGTAAGCGACCAATTCGAACATTTGGCTTAACTTTACCTTATGTTATGCCGAACATTTTTCAAAATACTGGAAGGTCTTAGTATTTTGTGTTGGATTTTTTTCTTCCAATTGCATTGAATCGCCGTGTGAATTTCGCCATAAGAAACATTTGGTCATTTGGTTGTTTCAGAAAAAAAATGTATTTTTTCACTGATTTTTTACTCCATTCCACAGTCCATACAATTTAACGACAGCTTTATATGGAGAAAGCGATAAACAGGCGTCGGCTGTGGTTGTCGTTCATACCAATTCTAATTTTAAACAATTTGAAGATTTGCGAAAAGCCAAAGCATGTATTGCTGAATTTGATGGCATTGGTAAGTACCAAAAAGAGAAATCTCTTGGCTTTTTCTTCTTTAAACGCCATTGAAAAATGTCATTGAACTAAAAAAAAATTCTTCAATAAAAAAAAAAAAACGTTTAGCATCGGTATCATTCTTAAACATCGCCAAAAATCTGGGATTATTCAAGAAGGATCAATGCAATCACATCAAGATGCTCAGTAATTTCTTCGGTTCATCATGTGTGCCTGGTGCAATGGATCCAGCCCATGGAGTTGGACAAACTAAGGTTAATTTGTGCTCGCTTTGCCCAGATGCTGGCTCAGGTGCCACTTCTGCAGTTCGCCCTTCCACAGAAACTCAAACGACACCGAACTTCATTCCTCTAGGTATAACCTTTCTCATCAATATATTCAGTAGTAGAACCATTTTCACTTTGGAAAAATGGAAGATGACATGAATTGTTTGAATATCAAATAGATCAAGGGGTTGATTCAACCACAAGTAGCCTTCAAAATGAACTCGCCGTTTTGAATGATGACACCAAATTGAACTGCAATGCTGACCGCACAAATAGCTTCTATGGAGATCAAGGTGCCCTATTTTGCTTGCACACCAAAGGAGATGTGGCCATTCTGGGGCTGAAGGATTTGAAAGGTTTGAGTTAATTTTTCAGATATTTGATTTGAAAATCATTTTTATCATTCAATTTTAACGATATCATAATTTAACTTTTTTTACGATTTTGTCATTCATAAACTAAATTTCGAACTTTAAAATTAAATTTTCAACTAATCATAATTTATTGACTCATTTTATTATAATAAAAAAAAATCGATATTCAGACCATGCCAGAGCTCTCGCCATCAATCCAAATGACTATCAAATCATCTGCCGAAATGGATCACTTGCCGAGCGTACTGGCTTCGACGTGGACACGGATTGTGCTCTTCAATCATTCGTAGACAGTGAGTAACTGACTGAATTTCATTTAATCATTAATTCGATTCACACATGTACTCTACTCATCTGATTTACTGTTTTTATTTTAAATAGTTTCGAAATTCAACTATTTTGTCACATTACGAACATGGGGCGATAGCATCGTTGAAAACTTTTAATATTCAACGTTCACATTTCTTGTCTTTTCATTCTTCAATCATGTTTTTTTTTGTATTTTTAGGCGAAATTGTCGTAAAACCAAAAAATCCAAAAACCGAGGGTATCATCAACGCATTGTTGTCATATGATAAATACCTAAAAGTTGATCCAGATTTCAAAATTTACAACACTTTTGATGGCCACAAGGATTTGTTATTCAATGTAAGTTTATTTGCAATGATTTTTTACATTGATTAGTTCAGCTCTTTCTTTTGATATTGATTGAATGTTAAAAATTAGGTCATAAATAATTTATTTGATAAAAAAAATGATTTAAATGATTTTTCGTTGAAAACAAATTTAATTTTGCATTTTTAAAATATATCTTTCATGTTTTATGAGTAGGTAAATAATTGTTATCAAATGATTTAACTTAAATCATGTCAAATTCGATGGGTAAAAATGCTGATCAATGTTTTGAACATGCAAGTTTGAATCAATAATTTTAATTTTTTGTTCTCTTTTCCATCAAAAACTCAGAACGGTACGGTTGAATTGGTGTCGTATGATGAAAAGGATTTGGGAGCAACCATAGACAGTTACAAAAATCTATTCAATATGCTTGATGCATGTGGCAATGCATTCAAATCCATTCCAACTGGGCATGTCATTCTGGCGACGGTGTTTTTCACTGTTCTCATCAGTCGATTGCTGCAATAAGCCATTTTCGCATTAAATTAAAATACAACAAGAAATAATGTTTATGTTTTAAAAATCGTGTTCTATTTTATTTTTTCATTCAAAAATAATTTTCTTTTCATATGTTTCAACAATTGATCAATAATATCAACATGAATGTATCAAGTGGTTTTTCTTTTTAAATAATTACAAAAAATCACTTTTCCCTCCGAGAATGTTTATCTAAAATGTTTCATCGCAATCAATCCGTAGCATCTGGGCGAGACAACTGGATCGAAAAATCTCACCAAATATGACATATCGCTGGCATGTTCTTGTTCTTTCAAATATAAAAATCGATCGAGTAGAATTACATTTTCGACAATTGCCGCTATTGAAACGCGCATCAAATGATAAATATCCACAAATCGTTCTTCGTTTCGAAATTCATTATGAAGTTCCGTCAATTCGTTATCGGTGACATCATCAAACTGCAGAGCTGGACTACGTTTGGCCGACTTTCGTACATATTCGGCAAAAGTGTAGCATTGTTTCATTCGGCCAACTTCAATGCGACCCACGAACTCGGGGCATTTCCGTTGTATCAACACTTCAAGCAATGCACGGTAGAACAAATGAGCGTTTGGCAATTCTTTTTTATCGACCACACGGTGCACCGTTTGACAAGCCAACATCCGAGCATTTCGACCAAGTATCGTCTTTTGATCAATCAAATACTGACTCATTGGAAATCCGAATGTTTCTTTCATTGGATCCTCTTCGGGCCGCTCACAAACTTTACGAGGCCTGGACTCAGGGCTTCGTTCACGTCTGATTACCCGGTACACGAATGTACTGAACTGTTCGGACAACAAGTGATAACAACATCCAATGTTACATACGGCAACAATTTGCTGATTTTCAGTAAATATTCGCAGGCATGATGGCGCTAAATTTCCACACGTATGAAGACCAGACAAACATAAGCCAGGCACTTCTTTTGTTTTAATGCCGAAATTTTCACTGAACAATCCAATGAAATCGGTTTGAGGTGTAATGAAATGCGTGACATTCTTGTAGTTTTCATTGACGACAGGAGTCTTGGGCTCGATATCCTGTTGCATGGCCGCTGCTCGACGCTCTTTTCGCTTTCGACGCGTTTGCTTCTCCAGGGGTACGTCACTGGATACAGTTTTTTCCGCACGAGTTTTTATACCGCCCCAATAACGCTGCAATGGAAAGGGATTTTTGTGTGTGAAAAATATTCCTGAACAAGTTTTTTTCAATCGGAAATTCCGATTCGGAATTTTAGACGAGAATTTGTTGAACAAAAAGGTCGAAGTAACAGTTTCTAAACGAAAATGTCTAGATTTCAACAATCGTCAAATATATGATAAAGACTTTTCAAGATAGAAAAAAGATCAAGGAATTTTCTCGAAGAATTCCAAATATACCTCTAGTTTCTCAGACCGCAACATTGCACCAAGAGTGTTGCCGGGATTGTAATCAACTCCAAGCACTTTGATATTATGCTCCAGTGATAGTCTTGTCGATAGGTAGCCCTTTCCATCTCCAGCATCAATCACACCAAGTGCCTTTTGATCTCGCATTGACGCGCACATATTTGCGATGACATCTGCGGTTATATGCACCTAGAGGAATAAAAATCAAATAATTTATTTCAAAATTCCATTTTTTTTTTTCGTTCATTTAACTTAGAAAAGTGGTTCCAATCTTGAAGAATTGATATTTTTCATTCATTTTATATTTCACTCACCTCATGATTTTTCTTATCGGACATAAATCCCTTGATGGGTAATGTTCGGCTGCAATCCGTATCAAAAATCTGTCGTAATTTCTCCGGCGAAACCCAAACATCGTCCAAATTATCCAAATGAAACTGTTTGTTGCTGGTCAAAAATGCTCGAAAGTGTTTGAATTTGTCATTGGTCGCATTCTCACCCTGGTCTGCATTCAAATGTTGCCAATAAATCTCAACTGCATCGTTGATATCATCTTTTGTTTGAATTTCCTGTTGAATTTCCGTCGGAATGTGTGTTTTCCACAGTTGTTCAGTGAAATAAGTGATCATCGGAGCATTGGCCATCGCTGACAGCGATGCAAATTTCTCCAACGTATTTCGAATGTGATTTTGCAGCAGTTGTGTGGTGACTTCGATAGTTGCGCCCATTTTATTCATTTTTCAAAAGCTCAACTGATCACTCTCTGGATATTTGCCGTTTATCTTCAAAATAGCACACGTTTTCCGGTATTGAGCACGAATTGTGTCGGCCAATCTAAGAATATCGGCTTCTTCGTCGTTTGTCCGAGGAAATTCACCAATCAAATTCAACACTAAATCAATCGACTTTTGTTGACGCTCTGTATTCTGTTCACGATTGGCGTACGATTGCAAAACACCATAATAATAACCGAGCTCCGCTCCCAATTCGGCACCACGATGATAGCCCAAATGATATCCGTCGGTGTTTCCAATCGATTGACCGTCGGTTAAACCCTTTTGATAACTTTCTTCGTTTATTCGCTCCTCACTCAATGCAATATCATCAAAGATATCGTTTATATCACGATTCGATGCCGTCTTCTCTGATTCCGAACGAGTTTCAATTGTGGACATGATTAGAAAAACACTGCTGGTTCACACCAGTGCTCACTGTCGAACGAATTATGACAAATTCAATTGCATTTTTGGATGTACAACGTGTGTGCTGCTGCGGTGTGTTTTGACATTTCGCATGGATGATGACAGTAGGATTTTAGTGGGAACACACTGGAAACGAATGATTCGATGCGTGATGGTCATGAATATCCATTCAAAAGGAAGATGAAACAAATTCGAGTTTAAAATTATGATGTCTAAAATCTTCTTTTCCATAATGAAATTTTTTCAAACAAATAAGATTATACGAAGAAAAATCTTCTTTTACAGAGGATATTTCGGTTCATTTTTTTGGAGACAGATGTCACCACCTAAAAATGGCCGAATTCAATGTGGTAAAAATCTAATTTGATGTAAATTCGATGAGAATTTTACTTACAAAAGATGGCGTTCCATTCCCTTTTATTTGAAATCACACACAAATTGTTTTAAAGTCAGGGATTTGATGATGAAATGAATGTTTAAAACGTTTACAGATGAAAACTAGAGAAAGTGTTCAAATTTTCAATTTTAAAATTTTCTTTCTTTATCTTACTACTTTCGGATCATTTTCAAAAAGAAATTCCACGATTCGAAGTGTTCTTTGTTCATAAAAATATTGATTGTTTTTTTCTAAAGAATTCGTAAAATTATTGAAATAAACGACCCAAAATTGTTAAAAAAGAGATATTCTATCAAATATTTTCGAAAATCTTCAATATTCGATTTGACATTAAATTCAAATGAATTGAGTTTCGATGGAAAATTTGCGAGCTCCTATCAAAATATCAAGTGAGCGGTTGAAGCTTAATATTTTTGTTCTTACTTAGTATGTAGTTGCACTTTCTTGTAAAATGTACAGAAATTAAAAATTCGTTTTGTTATTTAAAAAAAATCAACGGAAACACAAAATGTTTAGCATTTTCATTTTTCAATCATTTTTTCTCTACTTGTTGATGATGATAATTTACTTGTTATTTATAACAAATAATTCGTCACGAACATTTTATTTTAAAAATACAAATCAATGTCTAAGTTTTGCTGCAAAGGGTTCGTTGGTTCGTACAGAAGAGTAAACGTAAAAATTGTGAGTTTAAGTAATAGTCGTTTGTCGTGCACTTTGTATGCACTAAGATGTGAGTATGCTTGGTCGATCCGATAAATGGTTGTTGTTTTGTGTTACCGTTTACTTGCATACACACATACAGTGGAGAGTAAAGAAAACAAGTCTTGTTTTTTTGTTAGTATTTTTTTTCATTTGCTCGCTCAAATGCTTCAATTACGATCAAATGCGAGCAGGGAATATATGTGCGCGCACAAGAGCAGCCTCGGAGTACGGGTACGCGCGCACGCGCGCGCGTAAACGAGTAAGTAAACTCGCAAAAGAACCAACGAACGAAATAGAGGCTGTTTGCAATGTATTGTTTGTCCGTGTTGCGAGCGATGTATCCATCATCTCGTGTGGCGCGCACAAAAGCGTTTTCGAGAGCGAGAGATATGATATATGGAATATGGTAAAAACGAGTGTGTACGATATGAAACAAACAACGTACGACAACGACGGCCCAGATGCTGTTGCTGTTGGAGCAAGATGGTGAAGAAAGAGAGAGAGAGAGAGAGGAGAGAGAGGGAGAGAGTGTGCTGCTGCTGGCATGTGTACTATGCACAGGAACAACATACACCAAGAGCAGCAGCAGCAGCAGCATCAACCGTGTTAATATGTGTGCGAACACATTTTTTATCTTCTCGTCTAAATAATTTTCTTATCATAACATTCTGCATGAATGCATTTAAATACCCGTTCAGTGTATTTAAGTAATAAGTGTAACAGTATTTCATATATCAAGCGAAAATACGGGAGCGAAACGAAAGAGCCGTATGACATACACACACACACACACATACACACATCTTTCATCATGTTGTTCCATCTCTCTTGTGTGTTTTGGCCCATCCATCGAGAGGCAGCGAGCAGCAGCAGCAGCAGCAGCAGCAGCAGCAGCAGTGGCAATAGTACACACAGTCAAGAGAGAACCTTGGCTGGTTCACCCTTTCGCACAGAGAGATGGTTCAATATTTTCATTCAGCCACACACAAAATATTCGACACAAACCGATAGCGCGCGCGAGCGAACGAACGAACGAACGAACGAACAAACGTTCGTACACACATATCGGAAAATGTGTCTCCTCTGCCGCCCTTGCCAACCTCCCGGAAGATGTGGAGCGAGAGCCAAGTACAAACAACAACAAAAAATATCAAGCGAGAGAGCAAACGATAGAAGCACACGCAAAAGATACACAACTTGAAACGGATCGTTCAACTGAATTACACATCCTAGTCAGAGAGGAAGGGAGGAAGAGAGAGAGAGAGAGTGAACCAAATGAAACAAATGAAAAATATGAAATGCATGTGTGTATGAAATGTTTATCAATATTCCTTACCTCGATCCCAAAACGGGCGAGAGTGTGAACTAGAGTGAGAGAACGAGAGAAAAGAGAACAGTGCGGTTCGGGGAACCATCCATTTAAATGGTTCATGCGAACGCTGAAAGATGTACTCATGTATAAAAAATAAAAACGCAGCATTTCGAAAAACAGATAGAGAGAGAACGAAGAGCTCAAACAATTTTTCCATGGCAGAAGCGAGCGCCCGCGTTTCGCATACAGTAGCAATAACATTTACCCATAAATTCACACACGAACCGAAAATTTATTTTATTCATTCGTGGAACACATAAAACAGACGAACACCAAAATAGCGAAAATTTATAATGTTGATGAAGGAAGGAGCGAGCGAGCGGGCCAAGGGATGTGTTACTCCATCTCACTTTTCATGATGCTTTACAGTTTTTTCCCGTGTTTTGTTCATCATTTATTTAATATCGCTGGCATAGAAATATATTTATTTTAATAGCTCACAACATACAGCATTTTAAACGATCGCCGCCGCCGACAAAAACAACGAAAAACGAGGAAAAACAGCATCAGCATCAGCTATAGCATCAACAATAACAACAACACCACCATTTTATTATTTTGTAATATCGAACGCGCGAAAAAGCCGAACCGAACACATTCCAGTTGCGAACGTCAAACGGCGGCTTTTCAACGAACGGCCCGAAACCGATGTAGATTAAACTAAATGGTTTGAATTTGAGTCAGTTTTTACCAATTCCGCTTTTATTTTACATTCATTTACTTATTTGCCCATTTGCCGAGTCTTTTTTTTCCATTCATCTCTTTCGCTCGCTTTTTCGCTCGGATTTTTCTGTTTTGTTTTGTATGCTCATTCCATTCGCCTGCCGACCAACTGTTTTCATATTTTCATAGATTCACTCAGTCGAAATTTATGCAAAGTATAAAGTCCTGTTCTCTCTCTCTCTCTCTCTTTTTCGCTCTAGCTCTTGCTCTCGCTTTCGATGCTGTTTGATATGCATTCCACGTTTCGTGTATCATTTTGCAAAAACGAAGCGATCTACATCGCATTTCCACAGACCCATACACACACACAAAGAGTTTGGCATAAAACACGGTGTAAATAATTTGTTGGTTTCAAAAGCAACATTGTAAATAGTATAATTTTTTCGTTGTTTTCGGGTACGCAGCAGTGACGGCGGCAACGGTGGCGGCACTCATATAACAGCATTAAATTGTAATTTCCTTTCGTTTAGATGGAAAATTGAATAATATTCGAATTGTTTTTTGTTCGAGAATCGCTTTTATGTATAAAATGCGAGCAATGCCGTTTTCATTCGCATCTCTCACATTACAAAATATCCTTATACATGAATGCATTTTGCATGGAATCCCGAAGTATGCTTCGACATTTATCGCTTGATGTGCGCTCATTTTTTGGATTTTTTCTTCTTCGTTGGCTGCTTTCCCGTTGTTTTGTCTATCGTCTGAAAAATTATCAATTAACAGTACACGATCGATATTCAAAGAGATTGGAGAATAGCTCATATTACAATAAATAAATGTTTTTTTTGCATCGATTGTATTATTCGATCTTTTCCAACAAATTCTCGATTTGTTATTTAATGGAGAAACGAATTTTAACGCATACGCTCAAAGCTCATGTTTTGACGAGTATGAAAATCGGTCGAGAGAGAAAGAAAGAAAGAAAAAGAAAGTAAAAGGGAAAAGAAATGCATAAAACATCGGGAAAAAGAATTAAAACAGTCGTAAACACTGTATTCGAAAGTGTTTCCACTGTTTGTTGTTGCTGACAATCTGTTGTCGAACGTGGCAATGTTCGTCCAATTTACGAGAGAATCGATGCGCATTGTTCGACATTGTATCAAAGGGATGCAGAGTGTAACATCACGATATCTCGGTTAATTTATTGTCGTGTTAACATACAAAATGGTCATTTTTCAAACGTAAACAAGAGACACATCGGCACAACAACAGCACCCCTAAAACTGCAAGTAACGTAACGGGCACAACGAACAAACTAACTCATCACCAATTATCAGTTTAGAGAGTGTGTGTGTGTGTGTGTGTGTGTGTGTGAGAGAGAGAGAGAGAGAGAGAGAGAGAGAATGAGATAGCAGGCGAGGTAGAGCGAGAGCTGATCACGGCTGTGGTTGGCGGTACCACATCGAACCACATGCAAATTGTGTGTGTGTGTGTTTCCAAAACAGGGTTTCATCGAGAGTCGATGACATAACAACACCCAAGAATTTCAAATGACCATTTACACGGACGATTACAAACATGCAACATTAAACTCTTTGTTTTGTAAAATACTCGTAATTTACTTACGTTACGGCCATTGATAAACTCGGAAGCATGACAAAGGAGGAATTGAAAATGACAAAGACAAACAAAAATCTAATGAATTTCAATTGAAAGCCCAAAAAACCGTTCCACACACGGCAACACGGCAACCAGTTGATGGGAGAGATGGTTTTGCATAAACGGTTTATGGACACATTTCAAGGTTTTTCGGTGTGGTTTAAACCAGTTTGGGAG